ATCTAATGGTGTCGATACAAGTAGGCCCAGATCAAATGGTGTCGATACAAGTAGGCCCAGATCTAAGGTGTCGATACAAGTAGGCCCAGATCTAATGATGTCGATACAAGTAGGCCCAGATCTAATGGTGTCGATACAAGTAGGCCCAGATCTAATGGTGTCGATACAAGTAGGCCCAGATCTAATGGTGTCGATACAAGTAGGCCCAGATCTAATGGTGTCGATACAGGTAGGCTCAGATATAATGATGTCGATACAAGTAGGCCCATATCTAATGGTGTCGATACAAGTAGGCCCAGATCTAATGGTGTCGAAACAAGTAGGCCCAGATCTAATGATGTCGATACAAGTAGGCTCAGATATAATGATGTGGATACAAGTAGGCCCATATCTAATGGTGGCGATACAAGTAGGCCCAGATATAATGGTGTCGATACAAGTAGGTCCAGATCTCTTCGTGTCGATGAAGCTAAGTTCAGATATTTCGGCCTCCTGCAAACAACTAAAATAACCCATGACGTATTTTAACTTAAGTAAACTGCACAGGGAAGAGATAGAACTGACAATAATCAATTTAATTGGAGTCCTACAGAGCATCATAACGGGGCGCTACATACAAATGATAATTGACTCTAAACTAAGATCAATGTCGACATGTATGGGATATAATCATGCAAACTGCGTTACTTACGTGTCATATTTACACAACACTTTGTGTTGTTACAACTAATCGTCGTTTTGTTTTTCAGCGTCTCTAATCGACACGCGGACGTACCAAAACTACCTTGTCGGAGTCATTGTTGCCATGGTTACAGTCACAGTGGGCGTATTGGTGGGCGGGTCTATACTCCTAATCCGGAAACGCTGGCTGACACATAAGGCACATATACCTCAACAAAACGCTTTTGAGAACAAGATATTTGAGGTAATGTAGAATAAACTTATTGCTACATTAACAATAAAGATTCCTGCTACATTAAATTATTTTTGATAAAAGTTTTCTTTACTATTTTTAAGTTTGTTTTCTGTGTTTAAATTTTGTTTTGTTTATATATCTAGTTGTCAGTTTTGCAGTTTTGTGGAAAGGTTGAAGAAAAAATAATGTACTCAGAGCTCGGGGTTTTGCTTTACTGCCACTTACGACCAATAGACATGGGAATATATAATAAAGAAAATGCCTGTACTTGTTTAATTTTTAAACTGATCAAACTTACATCGAAGCAGTGTATGTTTATTATTGAAGCATTAAAAGTTCCCTTTTTGCACTAATTATATCTCATAATTTTGTCGGATTTAATTATTCCACAAATCGCCTTCGTCTGCTGTCCCAGGTAGTTTTCCGCACTCCTAAGGTTGTTTGTCAGGCTCTTCCCCACCCAAGCTGCCACAAATTTGAAGGATCTCTTTCTGTAGCCAACTGTCTTTACCCTTGGTATGCTGGCAGTCTGTTGTTGTCTCAAATTATAATTAGAGATATGAAATCAGGTGCCAATTATTTTTACAATTTTGAAAACTTCTTTTGACATTATTTTTAGTCTGTTTACATTTAAAAAATCGAGTTTGTGTTTTATTCAATAATGTTTTTAAAGTTGATGATTTATCATTTTCAATAAATCTAATTTCTATTTCCTGTGGATCCGTGACCATAGCATTAATATTTTCTATGTTCAAGATTCATGCGAAGGTTCGCCATCGGCCTGAGTTGTGCATGTTTCATTTTAAGACTGATCGGAAAAACAACATGACCACCAGACGGCCAACTTGTATTTTAACAGTTGAATCTATTTTAACGCCGATTCTAAATAAATATTACGTAGACCTTTCTGACATTTCCTGCGTAGTTTTCCGGTGGGCTGTAATTGTAGATATTTAATTTTTAAACTGATAAGAAAATTAATGGCTGTCAGGAGGACACTTTGAAATATAGCTGCTGAAGTTTGTATGGCTATTTCTCAGAGAGTTAAAATACAGATTTTTATTATCACATTACCTAAGTGGTTCTTCATGTTCGCTATTTTTACATAAATTTCATTTTTGCGCTTCAAGCCGCTTGATCAGAGGAAAATATTACTGCAAGAAATAAGAAAATTCTCTTGTTACTACGTATGCATTACTACATTAGTACCTTCACATGGGCCAATACATAGGTCCATCTGAAAACACAACGATGAACGCAGCGATATAGAAGTTTACTCAGACGTTACACACAAGATGCCTCGATTGATGACAGAAAACATAAATAGCACGACTGAGGAGCTTACAATGTTGTCGCCAAGATCCCTCCGAGATCTCTAGATAATGTACATGAGCAATATATTTGAATTCCCGAGAAACGTCCATTCTAATCAATAAGAAAACACATTATCTCGCGGAATTTAAGTACACTTGTAGCTATTCATTAAGTAAATTTCTATTTTCGCTTTAGTGATAGTGATGGGGGTGGCATTGAAGGTTCTGGCTAAGTTTTCGGTGCTTTTAACAAAATGTCGTAAACTATTCGTACTGGGTTCTATTGTGTTAAGATGTTCAATTAGATATCATTAATACTTTACAGTGCAAATGCACGATCGTAAAGTGGAACAGAATGGCTTCTTACATTCCCTTTGATCCGAGAGTTGTTTCACGATCTGTACTGAGATTGGGATTACGAGTGTTATCGAGTGTCACCTCTCACCTAAAGTGGTTGACGAGAGTACCAAGACGGCTCAGTAAATTGGCTATTACCGCAGAAAATGAGTCTCTTATTAATTCAACAGCAAAGCAAGCAGATTCAACGCGTTATGATCAAATTAAGTCACTGTAATATTCATGAGTGTACATGTCCACATACAAGTCTTCACGCGCATTATCGAAAGTAGATAAGAAATTTTAATTTTGACTTGCAACCTAAACGAAAATGTAGTAAAATTTAAAGACTCCGCTAATATGAGATTATAATTTGACAGATACAATTTTTATTTTTATCAGGAAAATCCTTCTAAATGCTACTTTATTGCTACCGCAATGCCTGTTACTAATAATGGGTAATTAGATACGACGAAGTAGAATATAAAGCTAATTAAATGGACGTCTACTTTACCCAATACATGTCCTAAGGACACTATTGATCCAGGACAGGTGACACACACGGTACTGGAAACTTAATTCCAGAGTGTGTATATTCTCAAACAGTTTACGTTAAATTCTAGTTCAGTTCTTCCTCTTTCGCATGTTTCTCGGAGACTACAAGTAGGATTCCAATAAAAACTTTGTATTGATCTTGGGCGCGTGCCTAGATGTGCAGCAGACCTTTTTTCTTGTGTCTGCACATCCAATATGGTCTCCGATTGGTCGAAAGGTGGGTCAACGTTTTCTCAAAAACTACGAGGCGCATTTCAATAAAACTTCGCATGAGTATTGGTGGGCATGCACAGATCAGATGTGCAGGAAACCTTGCTTTTACAACTGCGCATCCGAGATGGTCATCGCGGGCTCTGATTGGTCAAAATTTTGATATTAACCTATACTACTACTTTTATCAAATTTGGTTTGTTAGTGAATAAAACCGTTGTGATGTCCTATTGCCTCATTTACGACTGCAGGAGTCGTGTTAGGACTTTTGTTATTGCCGCTGTAACAATTAGAATTTGTTTTAGAAAAGATCTTTTGAAGGCAAAAATTATAAAACTGCAACGTTGTAAAGGCGTTTAATGGTACCTTTCTTGGTATTCAACATAAATGATTTAGAACGCGCGAGACGCGTTGTTTTATTTCTTTTATACTTATAATACCCGTAATGAGTCATAAACGGGCTGAATGACCATATGGCGCAGTGATAGGTTTACTTTGCTTTTGCTTTCTGCATCGACAAACTGAATATTAAAGACGTACTGGTGATTGCTATTTTCAAAGGCAGCTGGGTCCTGAACTCTTTTCCTTTAAAATACAGTCCGTTCGGTCCCTGTTGTAAGCATTTCGTTTCCCGATTAAGTTCTGATTTCACCCTCGTGTGATGAAGTTATGGTATATTTATTTCCTTCTTTCGATCACCACCTACGCTTATTAACTTATCCGGATCATAAAAGATTACGAGTCTCCTTTAACATCACAGCTGAGGTTGCGATCTTTGTTTTAGTTAAACAAAGACAAATGTAGTCAATGAGATAGAATCTTTCACCTTCAGGTATACAGACTGTACTTCTTCAATGATAGCAGAACCGCTGTAAATGTAGAATCATTTTGGTCTGCTCTGTTAACTACAGTACCTCATGTCATTAAGTACAGTTAGAGAACAGATACACGATTGTTTATCTTACTACTATAAGTCACTGTATTCTTTATCCAACGAATATTTCGTGATGATTTTGGCAAGCGAAAGAAACAGCTGCCGATAAATACAAGCCATTTAAATTGTGTCAGAGATACAAGTGGGTCAACAGCGGACTTTTTTCGCGAACTTCCGCGACATTAAAATAAATAGAAAACACAGTGTACAGTAAATATGTACAAATAAGCTTCTTGTACAGTATAGCAGATGTACAAATATAGTAATAACCTTTTTGTATCATTCTCTTTTGCAGATACGAGTCAGGGAAGATGGTATATACTAAAACGTTATAAAACAATTGAGATCCTTGACTTTTGAATCACCAATGATTCAAAGTGTCATTGTAGCCAAGAGGAGGAGACAAAGAAACTACTTTAACAGACATTTCCAATCTGGACAAAGCCTCCTCCAATGTGTATTGCTCACACACTTGGAGGATGACGAAGCATTGCAAAACATTCATTTTCATCAGTGCAAGTCTGTGGTCACCAAGTACATTCTGTCAGTGTATGCCCTGAATTATGAAACATTACAAAACATTTTGTGGTGTAGATGTGACAACGCCATTCATTTTTGAAGAGCACTACAAATTCATTTCATTTCATTTTATTTCATCAAAATTTGTCACTGTAACTCAAAAAACCTTCGATCACGTCGAGAATGTACGAAAAACGAATCACGTTACGCTCGGATTGCTTTATCGGTGAGTGCCCAATTCGAATTGATTTGCCTTCGTTGTGGTTTTTGACAAGTACACTGTAAAAGACTCAATTCCAAGAGCACAAGCGTATTACTGTTACTAGTAATTGTATTGAAATAACTATATCAGTGTAATCCTTACTCCGTCAAAAGAAGCTCAATTTCATTGATAACGTAATATTGCAAATGCGAACAAAATACAATTGCTTTAAAATTTGATAGATTCATCTTCAGATGAACACAAAAATACTCAAAAGTCAGCAATAACATATACTTCTGCGCATTATTTGATATATATATATATATATAATTTAATTTTCTTCACGATATGTCAAGCTATAATAAACCTGGGTAAACTGGCTTCATTGGTATTAATCTTTAGCTTATGGATTCGCTAAGTAATGTTTTCAGTTATTTTTTAAAAGAACTTGTAAAAACTGCAAGCATCCCGTGTTGGTTATGTAAAATAGAAACTTATATTACACATCAATCATACACAAGGATAAAACTTGACTCAGTCGACACATAACGACCACATGACACGAGAAGACATCAAAACTACATGAATGACATCAGTAAGCCACAAAGGGAGCGAACTCAGCTGTTTTGGAAGGGAAAACGTGTTTCTGCACCACATGAATCGCGCATTAAATGCTGAAGACAGGTGTATAGGTGGAAATATGATCATGACGACCGTAATATTTCGTTAACAGATTGAATCTTCTCAGATAGAAAAACAAGGCATTCGGGTTGGTATGTCTCGCCTATACTCCGCTTTGACCATCAATGCACATATCAGAGAAACTAATTTAAATGCAAAAACTTAATGTTGATGGAGATGCTAACAAAGTCAGTGGACCATGAAAGGTAGGCCGCATCCAGCATTTGATGCATGGGTTGAGATGTACTAGCTAAGATGCGGTCCAAGTTTGGTTGGTGTAGCACTTCTAACTTAAACGCAAAAACTTCATGTTGACGCCGCCGTCGCATAAAAAAAGCAACACCTTAGTCTCGCGTCCACTTCAAACACGGCTAAATTCTTTATTGATCAACAGGATTTAGCTTTCCATTAGTACCTGATTCTAAGGACACATGTGGGAATAACAAATCAGCTGTGACACCATAGCGCCATAAATAGGCAAGACCTGGATGCAACTGGAAAGTGTTAAGGCTCCTGCCCTTATTCAGCCTCACCGAGGAAATTTTCAACGAGTAGTTTTCTGTAAAATGTGTTACTGTGTAACTTGTCACGAACCTAATTAAGCGCGATGCTGTCGAACCGTGTAGGGTTAAAGCGGAATAATTAGCGCTTCAATACATTAACCATGTTTCTGTACCAGTTCAATGGCCTCATTGCAAGTTACTAGACGAAATTTATGTTTATGAAATATGCGACTTCGCAGCAAAGTCAGTGCCGACAGATATAACGTAATTGTTAAAATGAGTTTATATCTCAAGTATATAAACCAGTTTAACTAAGAGATGTTATTTTTTATGGAAGATAGTGTTGATGGAAAATGTCCGTGATGCTGAAAGGGCCCCGAGTTAGAGACAATGTTTCAGACTGGAATCGTCAGGGTAATGATTAGATAGTGAATATCAATATGTTGCGACATCTTAAATTTGTATATTTCACATTCAGTCAGAAACGTCACCTTGTTCTCTTCTTGTAATCTCCCTTTTCACAGATACATCTTAATGAGTGTTTTCAAGCCTTAATCAGAATGCATATGTTGCGTTTCGATTGAAAAATACCATATTCTTTTCTTGTAGATGTCACTTTCCTACCTAATAATGTGTTGCTTGTATTTCAACCCAGATCGTTGAAGATTACTTTATTGATATATTGTTATATATAAGCATTCATTGCTTGGCTACAAAATCTCCCTTATGTAATAACTTCTCAAAACTCTTAACTCCATCAATCTTTTTTTCTTGTTTTTATAGATGTGATTATTGATATATACATGTATTTGGAATAAGTATTGCTTCTCAAAACGAGTACATGTATTATGATAAACTGCTAACTCAATGTCAAAGGTACTGGAGTATATTTGGATGCATTGCTGTATTTAGTATTAATGTTTTGCGACTGTGTATTATTGTTTTATAGTCTTACTAACCATGAGTAATGATCTTCTTGTTCAATATTTGTTCTTTGTTTTCAGATGAAATTGTTTGAAATAATAATGACAATCGGGTGAAAAAGGCAACAAATCTTAGATGGCAAGACATTTATGTTTTTACAGGTATGTTTCCAAATTAACTCATTCACCCCTGAAGACATGTTTGAACTCTTCCAAATCAAAGGTTGGAATAGTTCATTATTGAATTTCAGGGGTGAATGTGTTAAGTCACATTCAATATATTGAATCGACCACAAAGACTTGCAATATACCTACCTGGTAATACTATTAAATAATGTTAAATCTCTAATTCATTCCTCTTGAGAATTTTTGTTTTTGAAAATATAGTAACAAAAGAAATTTCAAGAGTTCAATGCATTTTAATGTACAATTAGGTGTCAATTTCATGATTATGCATATTAAGTAATTAAACAATAATACTTGAATAGATAATAATAATTAACAACATCACAAAAAACAAATCATTTAATGATTGAAAAGCAATTAAGGAATATGGCATATCAACAATAATCAACTGCTATGTTTTATCCATGCATAGATTTGACATGATTACATACGAACCTCTTACCAAAACATAACTAACATACAGTGGACCTGGTTAAGATAATAATAAACATGATAATCCTTTATCAGTTGTTACACGTTTCCACACAAACCTTACAAAAGAAATCCCTGCCGAAGTGACTTTCATTACACTTTTTTTATATATATATATCCCTGATTTGTGCTCTAATGAAATTTCATTAATCTACACTCAAATAAACTTCCTTTGTCATTGGAAATGTTTCCTGTGTCAACCTTTTCAGAAATTTATTTCCAGACATTTCGGTCCAAACAGGAAATCTGTTCCATCCATAAGAAAAGGTGTGTTACTCCATGTCTTTTCCCCGCACAATCAAATTATCCCTGTTAACCCTTTCACCACTGTAGACCATAATGGACTCGTCCATATCAATGCACAGTAGAGTCTACTAAAGTTACATAGGGGTGAAAGGGTTAACAGTGCTTTGTTGTATTTCTCTTCTGTCATGTAGAGCTATAAATAACCAAAGGATGATCCCTTTATCAGATATCATGGGCATCATAGTTTCGTCCAGTCATACAGGCCAGAGACTGTTTCCGTGTAAGTGTCGACTAGGAAAGCCCGAGGATCTCTTCTGTGTCCGGGTCAATGTCAATGTCATAGAAACAAGGGCGAGTAGGCAGACCTGGCATGGTGCTCATCTAGGGAACAAAAATCACGCAACTTATATACATATAATAATTTAAAAAATTTGAGTTTGCTCAATTTTGAATTTGACTGAATTTTTTAGAATGATTCAAGTGTGGTAAAAATGAGACTTGCCTAGCAAATCCAATTTCTGAAGGAGTTTTTTGTGGACACATATTTAAGCAGTAAGTTTATTATTGCTGAACACTTTTTGACATTTAGTTTCAGCTTGACAATTAACAATGCAAACAAGTAGTCACGTGACACTGTTGCTTAATGCAAACAAGTAGTCACGTGACACTGTTGCTTAATGCAAACAAGTAGTCACGTGACACTGTTGCTTAATGCAAACAAGTAGTCACGTGACACTGTTGCTTAATGCAAACAAGTAGTCACGTGACACTGTTGCTTAATGCAAACAAGTAGTCACGTGACACTGTTGCTTAATGCAAACAAGTAGTCACGTGACACTGTTGCTTAATGCAAACAAGTAGTCACGTGACACTGTTGCTTAATGCAAACAAGTAGTCACGTGACACTGTTGCTTAATGCAAACAAGTAGTCACGTGACACTGTTGCTTAATGCAAACAAGTAGTCACGTGACACTGTTGCTTAATGCAAACAAGTAGTCATGTGACACTTGCTTAATGCAAACAAGTAGTCATGTGACACTGTTGCTTAATGCAAACAAGTAGTCATGTGACACTGTTGCTTACTTTTTCTAGTTATATCTTTGCTGCAGAATACGATTCTCCAAGTCTTATACAATGATATAAGTGTATTTAAGCACATGTACATGTATTTTTGCTTGTAACTTTGACTCTTTGTTGGAGTTGTCTCCCATGAAAAGATTTCAAATCATGGCAGGCAAACGTAAATGTTTGAATACATAATTTAATTGAAATACAAAAATCATTCGTATAATTGAATTGGTTAAAAATGTCAAGGGTTTAATCCATGACATTTATTTGCATAAGGCTGTTTTGTGCTGATGATTTTCAAATATTAATATTCAAACAAATACAGGAATGAATTTCATGTTATTAAGAATATTTCACCACACTAACATCTTTATTGTTTAAATGTATATTTTTTTTCCAAAATAATTCAATTTAGAATAAATATGTTTGCTTTTATTATGCTCTGGTCCTGACAAGTTAAAAATTGATTGCTTTTGTCAAAGTGGCCGCATAATTTTTGCAAACAGGTAATAACATTTCTGTATAAAACATGTTTCATTCAAGACAAAAGTTTGAAATAATAATTGAATCATACCAGCCATGGTAAAAATTCTGAATTTCATTTCTGTGTTGCGGAATAAATTCTGAATTTCATTTCTGTGTTGTGGTATAAATTTTGAATTTCATTTCTGTGTTGTGGTATAAATTCTGAATTTCATTTCTGTGTTGTGGTATAAATTCTTTTGAATCATCATGACTCCACATCTAACTGCATTTACATATGTTAATGTTACATTTGTTTTTCCTTCAAGCTGTATTGTTAAAAAAAAGAGAGTTGTAATAAATATTTTTAAAGAGAAAATGTCTGGTTTTATTTCATTCAATCATAATCCTGAAAAGAAAAAAAATACAAATAACACCAAACAGAGGCTAACTGAATGAACTGATGTTCATGCCCGGCCTGCCAGAGGAACAATTCCATACCATTTACACCAATAAAGTCAAAGACCTTTTTGCAGTGTACCATTGCACAATTTAACTCTCCAACCTAGAATCAAGGACTAACAGAATTTTGCAATGCATACATGCCATATCTTACGATTTGAGCGCGAAACTCACGAAAATTACTTCAGAAAAATTTCTCACGGCTTGAGACACATTTCACATGGATTTCAATCGTCAATGATTTCATGCAAATACGTAGAAACCTTGACAGATGCAAACAAGAACTTACCGCTCCAAGAAGAGGGAAGATGAACCCTGCTCCGATACTTGCTCTGACCTCTCGTATGGGTACAGTGAACCCTTTAGGGGCCCCTTTCTTACTGGGGTCATGTGACAGTGACAGGTGAGTCTTGGCCATACAGATGGGAAGGTCATTGAACCCCTAGAAACACATAAAATAAGGAATATTTTAGGCATTAACATGGCAACACATTAAAAGCGGAATCATTTAATGCATTAATTACCATTGAATACATTTCAGATGATTAAGAAATAAAATTAGGAACATTTATACGCCATTACTTGTTTATGTTTCTGAAGTTATCTACAGAAATACATTTAAGAAGAAACATTCAAAACTTTGACTAAAAATGTATGAATACAATAGAAGAATAGCTACAGACTTGTCCATAATTTAACTTTCTGCAAAATTTGAATAACAATGTTTTACAACACATATCTATTATTATCATATGTATCACCATGATTTCCATCATAAAAATTATTTAATCTCTAGATGCCACAAGAATGACAACAATAACATATCATGATCAATAAATGTACTAATACACGAAAATATGTACCCAGGAAGCTATTGAAATCACGAGTTACCTCCCCTTGAACAATCAGCACGTGTACAATTACTACAGCTAAGTCATAAAACATGTATTCCTTTGAGTTAAACATTGTCATAGGCACACATCTGTTTCAGACTTATAACACCTATATGAAAGTCTGCCATTTGTTTCTTTTTATTAAGATTTTTCTTGTTTCACATCAGCTTCCATCAGATATTGTGGATGCCACGCCAGGTACAATCCTTTCTTCTATAAACCTTTTTGCAAGTGATTCCTTACCTGTCTCTTATATCGATCAATCTGTTCCTGAGCAGCAGGGAGGATCTCGATACCGTCTGCACCATATATCTCCTTAGTAATAATTTCTATCTTCTCTTCAATAGACAACTATAAAGTAAAGCAAAAATATAAGCAATATGATTACAAGAGTGGCGGCAACTTTTAGACAGAATTCAAACAAGATCATTACAGGAGCAATGTGAAATTGAATGCTGACCTTAAGCTTGAAATCATGAAGGATACTGACCTTGACATCATACAGGAATTTAAAGTTACTAGGTTGACTGGTTGCTTTGTCGACGGCCACAGCCAGGTCCGCAGCTCCGGCCCCTCCGTCCGCCCAGTGGCTACAGATGACCGCATCAAACGCACCGTTCTCGCGAGCAAACTTCTGAACCAACGCAACCTCAGCTGGTGTGTCAGTCCTGTCATAAGAAAACAATTTCCTCAACATTTTTTATTTACAAAATTCTACAAGATATAACGAAAATCATAGTTAGTGATATTATAATCAGATAATCAGGCAGAGCCAAAATGTATGGAATATTTGTCAATTATTTTTGATACAAGGTTTGTATTGTAATTCTTGCTGTACAAAATAGTCAAGCACTTTTCTTGGTTGTATTATTAACTTGTAATTTTCAGATGCTAAGTTCGGTAAAAACCACAAATTAACCTTCAAATTGATATGAACTTGGCTTTAACTATTTAACCACACTGAGTTTGAAAGTAACACATATCTTCAATTCAAGGGCATACAATATACCAGAAAAAAAAATACTGTCAGAAAACTCACGTACAATGTATACTTACACAAACGAGTTGATAGCTACTACCACAGGGATTCCAAACTTGTTTGCATTGTCAATCTGTTTCCCAAGATTAAGACAACCTGCTTGTAAAAGTTCCAAATTCTGTAATAAAAGAGGATTGTAGAAAAGGAAATTCATCTTTTCGTTATCTTGTTAAAAGTTACGGCTGTGACAAAGGAAGGTTATACATAAGTACAAAATGTCTTCATCCAAAAAGGAGACAAAACTGTAAGACTACCAATATATAACAGATGCATTATTTTAACCGTGGCACGTCACACCTACCTCCTCTATGTAGGCCTTAGGGAGGGGTACTCCTGCAGTCACAGTGGGGCCCCCTCCGTGCATCTTGAGGGCCCGAACGGTAGCCACCAGTACAACAGCATTGGGAACCAGACCAGAATAGCGACACTTGATGTTGAAGAATTTCTCCATGCCAATGTCTGCTCCAAAACCAGCCTCAGTGACTTAAGAACAAACAAAAAATTTACCTAAAAATTTAATCCTTTCATATTTGTTCTACAATAATCGGATGCATTTGCTACATAAGACACATGAAGAATTTCCTTGAAGTTTTTTTTGTTGAAAATGTTCCTTACACGAACATGGAATTATAAACCAACAAATAGTATGCGTATATATGCTTTTATATAATTATTCCTCCATATAATTTGTAGCTTAATCCCTCGATCATAAAATATACAGCTGAAGAATTCAACCTTAAAACATGTAGTTGAAGAGTTCTGCAATAAAATAAGTATTAACTTCAGAACCCTGGGGAGGCAAAGAGCTAATGACATTTATTACTTATTTAAACAAAATTACATACTTTATATGTTAGAATTTCCTGCTTACCAACAATTCCGTCTTCTCCGACAAGCTTGAGGCCGATCTTATCTGCCAAAATGGAGGAGTTGCCGTGGGCAATATTGGCAAACGGGCCAGCATGGACAAAGACCGGTGTACCCTGAAAATCATTTGTATTTATAAATAACCTATTTATGCTTCATATTTCAATCTAACATCAACATGGATACAAAACAACACATTTGTTTTTAAATTTATTTTATATGAAGTAATAAATCTTAAATTATATATATACCACAGCAAAGCAATCCAATTTCCCATTTCATACGAATAAAATATGGTAAGATACATAAAGGTTATTATACAAGAAAGTGGGAAATTTCAGTAATAAAATGTTTTCATATATTTTTTTATAGATAATAGAAAGGTCATTAACTCCTTCATCCCTGAAGACACACTGAACTCTTCCAATTTAAAGGCTGGAATAGTTCATAATGAAATTTCAGGGTTGAATGAGTTAATATGTCAGCAATTGTCACTATTTTTGTCTCCAAAAGGAAGTTCTTTTCCCGTTCTATTTTACCTCCAGTGTCTGCATCAGGTTTGGTCTTATTGCATCCTTCATCAGTACAGCCAGCGCCCCACTCACACCCTAGTATAAAATAATTAAAGTACCTTACACAATGAAATCTATAATATTTCCTTGTCTGTTACATATAGGTGCAGCATAAAACAATCACTGAGCTACCTTGACGATAGTTTGATTTATCTTAATAACTCGATTGTTTTCCTCCACAGGTAATATACAGAGTACTCATAGGTGGGAACAATACCCAGAGGTAAATACTGTACTCATACACAGACAATATACTCACTGAGACAGGTACTACATACATGAACTCAACTTACGGTAATCAGCTTAACATGTAAAATTTTATTCCTATTGGCTAAAAATGCTGCTACCACAATTTGTGTGAAACCTGCCAAGTAGTTTGGAAGTAGATGCCATTTAAATCAAATCAAACAATTTGACCTATTTCACCTGGCCCTTAAGCCCCGAGAAGTATCATTCCCTTAATTTGTGTAGCTTTTGATCACATGGGGTACAATACAAATTGGTTAAATCTGTCCAGTAGTTTAGAGATTTTTTTTCAGTCAATTTGACTCCTGTACCAAAATGAGGTTTAGCTTCTTTATTTGTATAACATCTGCTCCCCAATTAACAAGGGGCTAGCCTTGCTATCACTAAAATTTGATTAAAATCTACTGAATACTTTGAGAGGAGATGTTAGCTATTGACCCTTTCTGACCCAGCCCTAAGCCTCCAGAAGGTTCCGCCCTTTAATTGTTAAAGTTTTCATCCGGGTTGGATGTCCTGAACATGCTAGTGCCAAAGTTTGTTTGATTATGTAAAGTAGTTTGCAAAAAGAAGTGTTTTAATGCAAAAGTTTGCAGACAACAGACGAACTCAGCATTACCACATAAGCTCACCCTGTAACAGTTATAATTGTACTGTGTGTCAGGTGAGCTAAACATCCATAGTAATCACTGTCACAATCAAGGAAAAATGACAATCAGGGGAGATAATTCAATGTCAAGTTTTACAAAAGCACAGAGGAAGTAAATGCCAGTCTTGTTCTGACAGTTTCTCGTACTTACCAGGTCATCAGCAGTGACTGGGTTTCCATCTGTGTCACTGGCCACCACCATGTGACCGAGCCTCTCTCTCATGTCAAGTAGACTAGTAGTTAGTGCAAGAATCGCCATGATTTCACTTGCCACAGCAATGTCAAATTGACACTCTCGTGTGTGACCCTTTTCGTTTGGTCCTTGACCCACAGTGATCTTCCTCAGGAAGCGGTCATTGGTGTCCAGTACTGTTAACGCATAATTTACAATGTTTGTAGTTTTATTTACAATTGTCAGAGAGTTATTCCCCCTTGGTCAGCATTGAATTTCTAAAGACATGCTACATGTACATATATATACAAGATGTACAATCAAACTTGCTCCTGTAATTACCTCTATTAACTCATTCACCCCTGAAGTTTCATAATGAACTACTCCAACTTTTGAATTGGAAGGGATCAAATGTGTCTTCAGGGGTGAATGAGTTAAGAGACCACCTGTTTATATCTACTTTAAGAGGTCCTCATTGTAGTGATTTAATGTGAAAAGAACCTGAATTAAGAGACCATCTCTGTTAAGAGACCAGGGCCCGTATTCATGAAACTGTTCTCATGCTCAAGCTCAACTTTTGTGCTCCAGCCAAATTTCTTATTTCAGTGATCAATTTATAAAAATTCACATTTTATCATTTTGTCAATGATCAGGAAGAAGTTTGGAGAGAAGTAAGGCTGATTACCGTTTCGATTATCAAATTTGACTTACTCACTGTGTCCCATGATTGTAAGCCAGGTATAAGAGAGTTACATGGTTTGAGCACATAATCCATACTGGAGCACGAGAATGGTTTCATGAATACAGGCAGAGTTTTTCAACTTTCAAATGGTGGTCTCTAAATACAGGTCTGATGTTAACAGCTTGAGCAAATATTTCAACAGGGTACTAGTTCCCTGTCGCACATGATATCACTGGGCATACAATGGGGCCGATTTACCTATGTAGAAACATGGCCACACATGCCGGCTCTAATTATCTCTGCCATTACAACTTGTAACAAATGTAATTCAATAATGATGTTTATCATACTACAAGAAAGCTTGATTTCTGTTCTTCCTCTTACTGTTTTTTCAAACTTTTTCAGGCTTGTTAAACAAAGTTAAAACAATAATTTGGGGTTAAACTTATGATAATATTTTTAATGACATGACAATATTTTTAATGAATTCTTAGATTTTCAGTATGTGCTTACACCATATTATACTACAACACCAGTCATAAAATGCTCTCCAATATGGCTGTACGATTCCTAAGTTATACAACAGGTCCATGTATACATAAAAGGTTGCGGCCAGTTACACTACCTCGTTGCCAGGTGATGGTGGATGGGTCCATGTTAAGTCTGGAGAATTTGGTGGCTTCCTCAGGGGTCAAACTATCGGGGTCGGTTTTGTCTATTCCCAGCCTCTGAAAAAATAATTTCAAGATTATCCTTACTATACCAGAGAAGCATTTATTGTTTGGCAGGCAAACGGCATGAATAGAAATGACTTGGTGTGCTTGTCTCTGAACATGGCAGTGTGATGAGAATGTCTGCTTACCTCCCAGATATCTATAAAAAGGTTTCACAATCAAGCCGTATATATACAGGTCTGATAAGTGAAGCAACTTCACATTATTTCAGAGCCTTGTTGGTCTTCATGTACACTAGGATTTACATTAAGACTGATTAACCTCGTAGTATGGATATTTCATGTATGTGGACTGTTGTTAGTCTGGACACTTTTTTTGTGTATTACTTTGGACCTTTGTCAGACTGGACACATTATATAGTTTGACCCTAACAAATCTGGATGTCTGGTTTCTGGACAATAAAGCCCCTAGACACAGAAAATGTTCACATGCAAACATCCAGAATGCAAATGCAAGTGATAAGTAATGGAGGTTAAAAAATTATGCACTGTACTGCAGAGCATTGTAACAATAGTATAAGTAAGGGGACAGTTAACACTGAGGGCCTACCTTGAGTCGGCCAAGCTGGATCTTTGAGAAGGAGCGTTTGCCCTTGTTATCGGGAACAAGACGTTTATACAGAGCATCGTCCTTCTGCGTGCTCTCGTGAAACAACCTGGCCTCAATCTGAGCGGCTAGCAGGTTGTTGGCAGCAGTGATGGCATGGATGTCACCGGTCAAATGCAGGTTAAATTCCTCCATGGGAATCACCTGGGAATATCCCCCTCCAGCGGCTCCACCTGGTCACAAATATAAGATCATCATCACTGACCTGATCTTCAATCAGAAAAAAACAATAGGTTAATTTCTAAATTGTGGATTTATGAAATTATGTACTGCAACACCAAGAAATGTCTGAATTGTTCATAAATGTGATCAGATATGCTGTTTAAAAACATTTTCAATACAAGAGGTCAAATGTGCCTGTATCACTCAACTGTGATTGAAAGATGAAACACGTCAGTTCTGTGACTTACAAAGCCAACAATGTCCAAGTTTAATTATTTAAACAAACTTGACATCAAGCAAGCTAAAGCTACAGGCTAAATATAATTATCCTACACATTAAATGAACCTTAGATGGAATATTTTATCCATCGTAAAATCCTTCTTGAATCAGCTTACAATCCAGTTCTCCCGGCTCCGGATCTGTTTGGGGACATGTTCATATAAATGTTAATTATTTAATTGATTTTAACTAACTAAGCCAATATTCAGAATATTGTGATTACACAAACTTTTTGAGAAAGCTCAGTTTCGACAAAACCAGATCAGTGCTAATTTTACACACATTCTAACATTTCAAACAGGATTAAATGGCAATCAATTATTATGTAAAATTACCTTTGATTCCAAATGTGGGTCCCTGCGATGGCTGTCTGACACAAGCAAACACATTTTTCTTCAGCTGTGAGCCAATGGCCTGAGCAAGACCAATGGTGGTAGTACTCTTCCCTTCCCCTAGGGGTGTGGGAGTGATGCTGTATAGGGAAAGGAAGAATTAAGTAGTGTGGGAGTGATGCTGTATAGGGAAAGGAAGAACTAAATAGGCTATCTCTAGCTCAATGAATCAATTAACACTTGAACTTTGACAAGTATGCACACAATGAAAACACTCTGACTAGTCCTTTTGAATTACATATAAGACAATGCTGACTAAATATTTTAAAGGGAGATAATTCTGTCACAAAATTCCCATACATGGATTAATATAATAGAACAATAAAGAACATATATCCTTAATACAAATATTTCACATGAAAACTGACTATGAAATTACAAAAAAAAAAAAGGTGGTTCATACAAAGTTTTCAAGACAAAATCCACACATTTTTCCAGCCGTTTTCCAGTATATTCTGCTGCAAATTTGTAGGTCCAAATTTACCATCAAGGGTGTAGGGATTTTCTGCTTTAGTAAGGATTTTCTTAATACCCTTACACAGCACAAAAGAATAACAATAAAAACAAGTTTCAAACGTTCTGTTAATTTTTTACAATCAATTTTTATCAGCACATAATTTTGACACTTCCATTGAAAGGGAGACAATTGATGAACGAAGACTTTATTGAGAAATAATGTAACTATGCCACAGACACAAAGACAGAGAGATGGACAAGGGCAACACCATATACATGCATTGTGTAACGAGACACCTACCCGGTTACTACCACATATCTGCCATCCTTCTGATCCTTAAGGCGGTTCAGGACTTGGAGGGAAACCTTGGCCTTCTTTTTGCCGTACAGATCCACCTCGTCTGACAGGAGGTTCACCTCCCGGGCAATGGTTTCAATGTTCTTTGGTGTCTGTGATTGAGCTACTTCAATGTCACTGGAAAACAAACGGTGTTATATATAATGTAAATAGTGTAATCGCATGGTATTAAAAGTGACGTCATTATTTTTACTGAATAACAAGTAACATCCATACATACGTATCTCATATTAGAGTACAAGGTAACAGGATTCCTAGTTTCCTACCTGGGAACAGGTCTCTTCAGAGTCAGTGGGTTGAGTGACAGGTTCCATCTGCTGGAGTTCTACAATACGAGAAATGCATGTATATATGTTACTGTATTAAGATTAATGTGCATTTTCAGTATTTTTTGTAAAAGTCTGTTTATTTTTGGTATCACCACAACAAACTTCTAAAATATTTACATGCTATCATAAGCTTTGTATCCCATTGGTTAAATGTTTAAAGAAAACACAAGAGGCCCCCATGGGCCGGTCTGTTTCATCTGTTGATCAATTGTGTGACCTTTAAAGTGGGTCAAAGTCAGATTAGTTAAACTTTAGCGCAAGAAAACAAATACCTCTTGCTGAATATCTATATTTCTACACGTAAGTGACCTTGGTTGGAAGATTCAGGTTATATTTCTCATGTGGCCTTCAACCTATTTTTCAAAAAGCATAATGGTCTCTCACTCCCGTACAGCAATATTACCCTAAACCTAACAGATCTTTACCAGTAGCTGTTTAAATTCTTTTAAAACATATTTGACACCAGTGACCTTGATAGTAGAGGTGAAACAAGCAAACTATATAATGAACCTAGGTCTTTTAAGAAGTTGTTTATAAATTTTAACACATTTGTCCCAATATGTGACCTTGAAAGTAGGTAATATAAAGATCAATCATTTAGATATATTTGATAAACCTTGCTTGTTACTGGCCAAATATCAGGACTTCGTTATTTTGGTTATTCAGAAGAACTGTTGTTTAAATGAACAAATTTGATACCAGACAGATGGACAACAGACGCCACACTACAGCATAAGATATCTTGCCCTTTGGGCGACCGATCTAAATTAACATCAACTCGTGTGTATATCTCTTAAACTCACCCCTGCTTTCTCCCACGCCTTTCTGGCCTGGTCTACAGTGTTCTTCAGCAGCATGGCGACGGTCATAGGTCCCACCCCCCCGGGGATGGGAGTAATCCACCCTGCCACTTCCTTGGCTTTGGCAAACTCAACATCACCTACCAGGCGTTTCCCCGACTTCTTGGTTTCATCTTAATGGGAAGAAAGTGTAAGCAATCTAAATATGAAAATTACAGTATTTAATGGTTGAAAACACCCAACATTTCAAATTTAACAATCTACATGCCCAGCCCCGCCTCAACAAAGCTAACAAAACCTGATCATGAGCAGCGTTTGTTGTTGGGATATAAATTATTTTCATCAGGAAGGAGCTGTGCCATTTTTACATTTGTACATTTTCAAATTGTCCTGCCTCAGAATGCCTTTAACAAAATATGGTTGAAAGCCATCCATAGTTCCAGCGAAGAAATTGCTTGAAGCAATGTAGCCAAACTGGGTTGTTCTTTTTTTTCAGCAGGTCATGCCATGAAATTGAACCAGTTGTGGTGGGTGAGTTGGCAACTATGCTGAGTCCTTCTACCGATAGACACCAGATATAACTCACCAGGCACTGAGTTGATGCCACAGTCAATCACAATAGCTCCTGGCTTTATCCAGTCACCTTTCACAAACTCAGTCTTCCCTATGGCAACCACCAAAATGTCAGCTGATTTGACCTGGCAAAAGTCACAAAATACTAATATAAACAAATGCGAACTTGAGACATCTTTATCAAGTAGCAATATATTTCTAAACCACTACCTTTTTCTTCAATTGCAATTTTCCTAAATGTTTAAAAAAATAAATAATGTATAAACATTTGCAAGACCTGTCAACATCGATGTTCATAAAAGGCTGATGTTTTAGTACATTTTTACTTTGACCAATTACAAAAAATATTTCAGATGAAACAAGCCATATTTCATGCATAATATACCTGTCCTTGCAAATTTTGTTTGAAAAAAAAACAGATTTTCCAAACTCATTAGATTACCAGACAACATTAAGGGCAATAACTCTGTAAATGACAATTTGACTAGCTTGTCTGATATACATGCACAACTATAAAAGATGCTGGAAAATACTATGTTTAAAGGGAATGGTATGGAAATCAAAATTAAAACCAAATAAAAGTAAATGAGCTGACAAGACTGTATTTGTCCAATTAAGATAGGCACAGATGTTCACTGGAAGTTAAAAACAGATACTGCTTTGAACAGTTTAATTTGCTCCATTCAAATTTACATACGATGCTTGGTATATCCTTCGTCCTAGAGTGGCACACTGTCACAGTGGCATGGTTCCAGGTGAGGAGGTCGGACATTGGGGACCCAACGATCATACTCCGTCCCAGGACCACGGCCGTTTTACCCTCGATGCTCTGACCTTGTTGTATAACGAACAATACAATATGTCAAAAAATAAATACAAAATTATTGCATGCATATTCAAGTACTATAAAGCGACCTGGGATTAAAATGAACTTTAGGGCTTACCAGGTTTATTCCGTGTATCTTAAAAAGCATTTTGATCAATAGGCTTTTTATCTACTCTTTCCCTATCTTAGATCTAAAAACACACAGTGATGTCTTGATTGATAACAAACTTTTAAGTGAGAGGTCACGGTCAAATACTGGCTGTAGCCAATTCTAGCATGATAAGCTTTGTCAAATAGGAGAAGTGCTGACCTTGATGTGAGCATGCGATTTCATGATCAGTGTATGTTTTCACTGGTTCATTATGACATTATGAAGCTCCTTTAAAATGTACAGTCTGGTAAAATGAACTTTATCCCGGGACATTTTATACTGGAAAGGGTTGATCAATAGTTTTGAAACATTAAACTTCTGTTACTATACCTAGCTCATATGGATGTAAATATCTATCACAATTGTATGAAAGTTGATACATAATTAAGGTACAGATAAATAAGAAAAGGTACAGGTTTCCGTGAAAAAGAGACAGAACAAACACTGTTGACCAAGCATTTGCAAAATTCATGCTGTTGTTACCTGAGTGTTTGATAAGTTCCAGACATCCCCGTGGTGTACAAGGCAACACACATCCACTGAGGTTACCACGGGCCAGCTTCCCTGCGTTGGACTGGTGCAACCTTACGTATGAATATATTACAGAAATGTTAGATAAACACTATCACTACTCCATGTGATGAGATAAAAGGAAGTTATTGCACAGTTACGAAATGGATGGACGGACTCATATTGGCCGGTCCCATCATTTTTAAAATCCATCTATTTTCATCAGAAAATTATAGTACATGTTTTTTAAATGTGGTAAAGCTGTACCATTTGGAAACTTTGAACTGAACACTAAAGATGGGTTTAAAATTAGTTTTTGTAATTGTGTGGTCCCAAAATGTATATGATAAAATATGCCTTTTGTATTTTTCAAATTTGAAATGATCAAATGATCAAACAATACATCATTAATACCTTATTACAAGGTACTTCCCTAATCTTTAAATATATTTAAATATCTCTTCATATATTCATATTTTGTATCTACATTTATTCAGTCTTGATTTATTTTACTAGGAAGAATCTGTTTGAACTTGTAGCCTTGACCTACCCGTCCACATCTTTACTCTCCAGTATGGAGTTGGTCACCAAGTGGGCGTCTATATCATTCTCTGTGTCTAGTGGCAACTGAAATTTAAACAAGAGGTCTGAAGTGCATGTATTGCTCACATGCCATTCATGTCACACTTGTGACCTTCAAAACAAGATCAAGGTTAAACTTATTAATTAGAATAATATCATTACTCTACAAAATATGGCTCTTTGTTAAAAAAGGGATTTTTTGTTTTTCTACACCTTATGGATCTTTATTGGAAGATTTTAACTTATTTTACTTATCCAACCTTTAAAGTTGTTTGGTCTAGGTCACTTATTTAGATCCTACATTCTACTACACTTTACCTTTTAATCTACATGCCAAATGACATGACCTTAGGCCTTTTGGTTATTCTGGAGAAGTACGTCATTTAATTTTTTTAAAGAAATCTGGCTTGAAAGTGGGTCAAGGTTAACAATATTCATTTTAACAAATATGATAGCCATACAATTATATAAGCTAGCAGGCTACTAGCTGCTATCATCACCCTAGGCATCTTGGTTCTTCAGAAGAAGTTTTTTAAAGGTTTCAAAGAATTTGACTACTGACTTTGAAAGTAGTCAAGGTCATTCAACTTAACAACTTGAAATCTGTCATATCAGCATTTGGGAACTAGAAGTCACTTGAAAGAAAATTCAATGATAGGCGATGCATAAAGCACCCCAGCATTGTGAGTTAACAAAATTACAGCATTGTTACATTACAGCACTGTGAGTTTACAAAGTTACAGCATTGTTAAATTACAGCACTGTGAGTTTACAAAATTACAGCATTGTTACATTACAGCACTGTGAGTTTACAAAATTATAGCATTGTTAAATTACAGCACTGTGAGTTTACAAAATTACAGCATTGTTACATTACAGCACTGTGAGTTTACAAAATTACAGCATTGTTAAATTACAGCACTGTGAGTTTACAAAATCACAGCATTGTTAAATTACAGCACTGTGAGCTTACAAAATTACAGCATTGTTAAATTACAGCAATGCGAGTTTTAAAAGTAAATTGCTAGTTTACAGATTTACAGCATGATTACACATGATCCTTTGGCCAGGTATTCTGAAATTTCAATTGTGAATTGACTCATAGATTACAGTATGCAGAACAACTTTCACCTAATCCAATTTTTGCCCTTCACTAGTAGAATCCGTTTTCATGCAGAGTTCATTTTGCTCTTCACACGTTAATGCTATGCATAATTTTCTGTGTACCTATTATCACCGTCATGAATTCGCCCTCATCACAGAGGGCAAAAAAGGCAAAAGTTAAGCTACAGTAAAAATGTCCTTGTAGACAGCATGTACATTGTACAGCATCCTTTCTTTACCGACTGATGTGAACTTACCTGGACAATGATCCCTTTCTTTATTGACTGATGTGAACTTANCAACTGATGTGAGCTTACCTGGACAATGATCCCTGTCTTTACTGACTGATGTGAACTTACCTGGACGATGATCTCTTTCTTTACTGAGTGATGTGAACTTACCTGGACGATGATCCCTCTCTTTACTGACTGATGTGAACTTACCTGGACGATGATCTCTTTCTTTACTGACTGATGTGAACTTACCTTGACGATGATCCCTCCCTTTACTGACTGATGTGAACTTACCTGGACGATGATCCCTTTCTTAACTGACTGATGTGAACTTACCTGGACGATGATCCCTTTCTTTACTGATTGATGTGAACTTACCTGGACGATGATCCCTTTCTTTACCGACTCATGTGAACTTACCTGGACGATGATCCCTTTCTTTACTGACTGATGTGAACTTACCTGGACGATGATCCCTTTCTTTACCGACTGATGTGAACTTACCTTGACGATGATCCCTCCCTTTACCGACTGATGTAAACTTACCTGGACGATGATCCCTTTCTTTACCGACTGATGTGAACTTACCTGGACGATGATCCCTCTCTTTACCGACTGATGTGAACTTACCTGGACGATGATCCCATGAACTGACGGGTCAGTGTTGAGTTTCTCTACAGCCTGTAAAACCTGTACAAAACAGAAATCAAATCGGTCATATATATATATTACAGCCAAAGTAAACATACTAAGTGTAGTTATAATGATGAATCAAGGTTTTGTTTGTCCCAGTACAGCTGTATTCTCATTCATCATCTGATGAAAATCAACTTTTTACACTTTTACTATAAGACAGAACAAAAGGCATATAACTTTTAATACCTGTCATTGTCTTTTTTTAATATGTGAACCCAGGTTACCCTTATTTCCCCTTTTAGGCCCCTTTGGTTAGACTGATGGTAAAAGGGCATCTTTAAAATAATGTACTGGACAGCCACTCTTACTTGAACAGATGACTTCATGAATGGCAGGAAATCATTAAAAATAATTCAACAGTGTAGAAAATATAACTTATGAAAAATCTCCCAAACATTTATTACAATTAAATCATCTTCATTAAAAAAAAAAAAAACTTATAAACCTTGTCATGCATTGAACTACTAATACATTGTACAAGGTATAAATTTCAGGCAAGATATTATACATTTTAAAAATTGTTTTATATTAAAGTTATTCAACCCTACATGAATTGCTAAATATGATATCGAAGGTCACAATTTTCAAGCCTCATTACCAGTATTTGTGAAGTAAAACAACCTGTTATAATTTGAATGGCCAATTCTAATTATTTTTTTATAAAACTATAATGTCCTGGAATTATGATAAATGATTATTGTGTATCATGCTGCGGTGTACATTGTTCATGATATGACTCCCTGCATGTGTCCCCTGTTGTCTTATCCAAGTACCTTGAAACATTGTCTAAATGACGTGATCACTCATGTCTCGCACCTTTCAGCTGTAAATATATTCAGCTACTGTAGAGACAAATACATGTTGTGGTCGGCTGTCTGTGTACATTACGTATGTTGAAATAAATGTTGTTTCTTCTTGTATCTTATATATAGAAGAATGCCCACAGGCTTCACTTGTAGCTTATTTGTTACATTCATGTTTCATGTTATAAACTGTTAATTCTGAACACAAAATATTCAGAAGAGAATATTACAGTTTCTTCATGACCACAAAAAAAAAAGGAAAATTGTTAAAGAAAAGTTAATAGACGGACAACAGACGACAGTTGAGAAGACAACAGAAGGCAACAGATTGCAATAGTTCTTAGCTCACCTGCCCCTTTTGGCAAGGTGAGATAAACATTTAGATACTGTAAATGCTGGAATTGAATTGTCAGACCACTCTACTCATTCAGCCCTGAAGACACATTTGAACTCTTCCAATTCAAAGGTTGGAATAGTTCATTATGAAATTTCAGGGGTGAATGAGTTGAAGAACGAAAGTTAGGAAAAACTTGTAGGTAATCTTAAGGTTTGGCAATGGTTTGTCTTCTTTGGGATAACATCCAAAAAAGTTTGTGGGATGAACTTATTTTAAGGAGTTAACATAGTGAATAACCAAGGGAATACTTTGGGAGACATACAACACTGGATCATGATCTTGGGTAATAAAAGTCCATAAGGAAACCATTAGGGCTCACTTAGTGATGTCTCAGGGTTTATCTGTCTGTGATTGGTCAGACCTACCTGGTCCTGGGTGGCGGTCCGTGACAGCTGGACGTGAGTGGCCTTAACACCCACAGCTGCAGCATTCTTTACTTTCTGGCCAATATACACAGTGGAGTCCTCTCTTCCTCCAACCTGTAATACAGTAAATACAAGTTTAACATGCAGGTATTTTATAACTTTTTACAATGCTATTAAAAGTGAACCCCTATATTCTGGATTCAAAGAATGCTGAACTGGCAATTAATACATTCCAACCTTTTAAGGTCTAAGAAACAGCATCCATTAAGAACCAAGAGGCCCAACTGACCTGTACTGCTCCCCTTTTATTAGTGTTGGCAAACACATTTGACTGCTGTGACCTCAAAAGTGGGTTATAAGGTCAAATTTATTAAAACAGTTGATCATTGATTGCAAGCAAGCTTGCACTACACTACAAGCCAAACATCATTACTATAGACCTTTTACTTTATTTAATGGATCATAATAGAAGAAGTTGTTGAAGATTTTCGATATTTGTTTTGGTTTCTTTTATAAACTAACTTCTTTTGTTATTCTGGAAACTTTTCAATGGAAAATTCAGAAGTTTTTCGATATTGACTTAGAAAAGAAAAGCATAATGTTTTAATGTTTTTCATATAGTGAAACATGGCCTTAAATTGATCTTTTATACAAATGGGTAAAAATCGTTTAAGCAGATTTTTATGTTATGAACAATTGACATTAAATTTAATTCATAATGTAACCGAGTCTTTGGGCAAATGACATAACAAATTCAACAATCTCTATTACTGAATTTAGAAAACTCATTACCTGTACAATGGCTAGACCAGGTAGAAAACCAGGATACTTCTGTTGTAGCTCCTCAATCTCCGCCTTGAGTCCATTCCGTATTTCTCTGTGTAATATCAGATAGACATATTACATTATTACCCCTTTGAGAAAAATCTAGGAATCTGATCGCTTAAAAACTTCGGTGTATCAAACCGCATTCGTAAATCTCAGGGGGTATACGGTCATGTCTCGTGATTCTCAGCAGTAATAAGGTGGAATCACATGGTTTTACAAGGGGTATACGGGTCACATGTCTTTGTATCTTGCGGCCGGGAATCAGGAAGAACAGTACGAGGAATTTGATAAAACGAAACTAAATGAGGTACTGTGCCTGTTATTTTTCTTTGTTTTTATTATAAAAGACTCAAAGGGGTAATAAATCCGTCTAACTAATAATGTACATGTGAACAGTGACAGTAATATGGAGACGGAGTTTCTAGAAAAAAAATATATCTGTTCACCTTTAAGATATCCTCGTACGAGTTGTAGTAGTTTTATCTCTATGTCTGTAGTACATACATGTTTACATATTGGATTAAGATGATGACAAAGTGCGAGATTGGAATGACCTGATGGGCCACGTAAATATGTGCGGGATATATATACTACACCCAAATGTGGGTCGACCTTCATGATTTCAGGTCACTTGATAGATCTGTCTGACAGTCAGAGAGTATAAATATATTTAGTCTGATGAAATCATTAAGTCATCACCAAATAATATGTCAAAGTATCAAACTACAATGAGGTTTCCTCCCATAGTAAGACGCCTCACACGCTAATATCCAGGCCAACAAGAGTGACTTAATATAAGTTGTATGAACTGGTTTCATAATTGTTGTAAAATCAATAAAGGTTAAATGAAAAAAAGATACATAATCAGTATGAAATGTTTGTCTATCTCAAACCTAGGACAGTTAGATATGAATTAGAAAACAGCTCTCGGCAAACTTTTCTCTCCTACCATCTTACAATTGCTCTACATGTGTCTAATTAAAATATCGTGATTATTAATGTCAAGTGACATGCATGATGTAAGCGTTTCACATTATGTCATTTTTTTCTGCTGTCAGATAAGTGTTCAGAAGAACACAAATATGCTTGTTTATAATTATGCAAAGGTCAGTCGAGAAAAGAAAAGACCTTGATGGTCACACTGCAGGTGTCAATCAAAACCTTTATAATACATGGAATGATTTACAATGCAGAGGATATGTCGCACTGCTGGAGCGAAGTTAAGCCTGCATTATAACAAGTAAATGTATTAAAAATCACCAGTTTACCATATCTCTGACGTAAATAGGCCAACAAGCAAAGGTAAATACCGAATGGAGGGCCTTTTAATAGATCTATGTTTTTCCTCAAACAAAATAAATTCTATTTTGCTTCTTTCACACCACAGCAGGAAAGTGCATTTCTCTTTACCCCATTGCTGACTTCACCCATTAAACAGTGAAAAAATATTTCGGAAAGATTGCAACGATAACTGTTTCAGCAGATGTATATAATGTTCCATGTCAGGGACCTTTTGTTCAGTGTCTGCAAGAAAAGGGATATTTTGATGGTGGAAGTCGTTTGAATTCACATAATCTACTGGACGACAACTGGGAATCATAAAACCATAATAACCACAATTTCTTTATATTACTGATGAATATGAATAAAATGCAATTTCTTTCTATTTATTTAAAAAGTATTTTAAAAATGATTCTATACCATACAATTGACTTTCTTTTTTAAGATTTTATATTTCATTTTGTTTTTGATAAATTAATTCCACCATATTGTGGTGTTTATAAAACATACACAGCTGTGTGCTGTAATACAATTCAATCAATCAATGCCCTTTAATAATATTTTATAAAATATAGAAAACAGGTGCAAAATATCAACAAGATTTGCTGAAAAAATGTTTCCAAAGCAGTCAACACTGTGGAAATACATGTGTGTCATGCAATTTGATAACTGTTTCACTATTTATAAGTTTAATAGTTTATAGCTGTTCTGATAAAATTTTGACTTTCTATTTACTGGTAGCTAGGCCTGTTAAATTTAATGACCAAGGGATTTTTTAAAATTAAATTATAAAATTAAATCATTGATTTCAAAATTTATCATTTGTGGGCGGATTGTTCGAGTGGTTAACACTCTGGCCTTCCAAGCAGGCAGCCAGGGTTCGATCCCCGAAGTCGCCGTACGCATGGAACATTAGAGAAAGTGTTTTTCTCCTGCCCACACAACTCCAGCAACCCAGGTGGAGTATAAAATGGTCTGGGGTGGGTGTTGCGGTATCTGTGCTGTAGCATTCAAGTGAGGTGGCACTATAAATGATACCGTTGGAAGCACGGTCCCACTACAAACAGAACACAATACATCTCCAGCACACACACAGATATACACACATATGGAGATATTAGCCAGGTGGCATATAGGACTAGTAGTTAGCGCCTGATAAGGCAGCTCCTGCGAATTCCTTAATATTGTATTGATTAATATATATATGCTAATTGTATTGACTGTATAAAATTGTATATCTATGTACTGTAAAGCGCTTTAGAGTGGCTTATGTTAGCTAGATAGGGCGCTATATCAAATGTTGTATATTATTATATTTATTATTTATCATACTTTGTCAAAATAAATATCATTGGTTGAAATGTCATTATAATACATTATAAAATTACCAGTAATTACTGACCTGCTGGAAAGACACTGACATTTAAGTTTATTGTGTAACATGTAGTGTACATGCACTGCTTAAGTATTGAAATCTGGAATGGTGGCACCCCACTAGAAAATTTCTGGATCTGCCCCTGACAAACCTCCTTCACAGGAGAAGTGCTCAGAGGGAGATTTCCCAGTTTTGAGGTTTCAGAGTTCGACAGATTTTTGAATGTCTGTCCAACATATTTTCCACAGTTTCATGAAAGAAAATAAATTGTTTTTGTTGAAATTTCTTGTGAAACATGCAGGATTTGCACCGATGCTTCAAAACTATCTCAGACCTTGTTTCTATATGCCTCCTATTTATTTACACCTGCCCTAGCAGGACTATCACATTATGTAATCTACCTCTTAACATTTTCTGTTTGGAAGTCCTGCAAGCTATGTATACGTACAACAAGCATACTGAGTATTGCTAAAGCAATACATGTCCCCTACCGGCCCCCGCTAGCTATAACACTGTAATGATTTACATAAATGGTGCCCTTTGGGGTTAATTTGGGAAAATGAAAAGTATACAATTAACTTGTAATTAATTTTAATGTTATAATAATCGAAGAAATTGTAAAGTTAGTATTATCATAGAGGAATTATATCAAATAAAATTATTGACAACCCTGAAACTCAAACTTGTCGGAGATATTATTGTCCTTTGTAATTGTGTGAAGTTTTATCAAAATCCCTGAAGGAATGAAGCTGCTAGAGCGCTGACAATGAATTTTCTAAAAATAGTAACAGTGACCTTGACCCAACAACCCTGAAACTCAAACATGTCCGAGATATAATGGTCCTTTGTAATTGTGTGAAGTTTGATACAAATCCCTCAAGGAATGTAGCTGCTAAAGCGCTGACAAGGATTTTCTAAAATTAGCACCGGTGGCCTTGACCCAACAACCCTGAAAATCAAACTTGTCCGAAATATTATGGTCCTTTGTAATTGTGTTAAGTTTGATACAAATCCCTCAAGGAATAAGAGGCCCATGGGCCTAAACGGTCATCTGACTAGTGACCACAAAGACTGAGCAGGGAGAATGGTAACTTTTCAACTTTGGTGTTACGTACCCTGGTATATATGTACAAACACCGCTCATGACTCACACTAAACACAGATTTGTACACACTACCTGTAGCTTAATTATTCTTATTTTTCATCTTCTAATTTGGTCATTAATTATGTAGCACATGTACAGCCAGGATATTCTTTGTAAAGGTGTAATATTTCATCTTTTTTTTTTATCTCATCTACATATTGTACGTAGACATTGTTTATAATTTCACTGATTGAATGTAGATACTTCGTCCATTATTATCCAGTGTATTGAGAGCAAGGATCAGGAACAATCTGTTCCAACGTAACGTTATCTGCATGGCTACTATGAGTTTCACCGTTGCGAAGAAGTAAAACCCCAGTCAAACAATATTTCTTTTTTTTAATTCTATAAAGTGAATTTACACTCAGTGGCCTGTCTTGAATTACGTTATCAGGATAACTAACATTTTTTTTTTCTTCTGTTTTTAAAATTTTGGAAAGGATCATTTACGAAGGCCATTTCAGACTGGATTTATTATTTTCCGAACATTTTCGAATTCAAAGATCTTTATTCAACCAAAACGTGCAAACGTGTTAAATATTTACTGCATGAGAATAGTAGTGAAATGTCCTTTCCTGTCTACCTCAGTGCCAATAAGACAACTCTTCAACATGACCTATTTAAAGGGGCTGGTCGGGGAAAAAATGTCATATTTGCTAAAATGGCTTACACATGTTTAAAATACCTTCTTATAAAATATACCGATTCAAATTTTGCTGAAATTCACTCCCGAAGAGTAAAAATTATAATTATATTAAATAAATCCTAAATCATCACCCGACAGTCTAAAACTCTCAATTGACCCATATCAGTGATGTTATTTTACTGCACGCGCGTCATCAACAAGGCTAAATGTAAACATAGGGGCGAAAGAAAAAGATGCATGCAAAAGTCATGAAAGGCACGAGGTATCAATACCGTTATATATAACAACAACATATAGGTAGGAATACTACACTTGCATCATACATGACCTTTGAAAACAATTATTTACGTATAGAACTGCTATCTTTTCCGCTAGTTGAGTCGACATGGCACATGACAGCTTGCTATTGTTGTTATCTTCACTGCCTCACTTTCGAAACAACCACGTGACATATATAAATAGATCTGCGCTAAATATACGCGGGGCTTCCCCGGGATTTCAGTGGTCAAAACTGGACATTGCAAGCAGAACTCGACCATCATATTGCCATGGTATAACTTTTGGAAGGCCAGAGAACACATTTAGACCCATTTATTTTGTCATTTTTTCCCCGACCAGCCCCTTTAAATTTGGCTTTCAAACATTTTTTAAAAGATGCCTTGTTTTCATTTCACAAATGAACTCTGTGCACAACACCTGATGTTATAATTTCTGATAGTTGCAAGCCATTTTTTTCTGCCCTGACAAAAAGAAGTGTACATCGGAAACGATTAGATATGCAAATACACACCTGAGTTCCCTCGCAACACAACACTGAACAAATCTAATTGAGGACTGGACAAGTTAATTAAGTGGACAAATAACCTAACTGTACTCTTAACATAAAACAAAGCAATGAAAAATTGTGCTGCAAAGAAAATTAAATTATTTTATTTATGTAATTTTTAATGCCACACCCTTGACGTTTAGGGTCTCGCCCTACCAGACCAAAGGCCAGGGGTTTGTTTCTTACTAATGTAAGCATAATCTCTGTCAGAAAAAAAATACATGGCGGACAGAGGTTCGTTACAAATACACATATGCAATATGTGCGCTGTGACATTATCAGAGTATGTGTATTTCAGACATTTGTAACGAACCCTGCATGGCGCGTGCGCTTAGTGGAGCATTCTTTCTCTCAACACACCCACTATGTATTTATTAGAAACAACCCCTTTTGTACCTGACATATATCTGTCAAAATTTGAAAATGGTTTATGAATTGGCAAACATATAGCGTAACAGCCCGGTCAGCCGGTTGGAGTCACATGTGCTCGGGTCCGGGAATATATGAATATGCGATATATTATCGCACCCAGGCCACTAGATATCGCACCCCCTTATACCAGATACTGGGGGTGCGATATTTAGTGGTTGCGATGATTTATTAGTATAAGGGGGTGCGGTATCTAGTGGGTTCGATAATATATCACATATATTCCAGAACCCGAGCACTTGTGGTCGGAGTTGCAGTCCATTTTTCGCTACATAAACACATTATTCTGACCTATAAAATAATGTCAGCTATACTTATTAATTTCCGTCGAATGAATGAATTATGATAACTTACTCGGACACAACCTTGCCGCTGAGAATTTCTGCCATTATCAGCTTTTTGCTTACCGAACCAGGCTTCGTCACCTTACACGAGTGTCACCTCCAGCTTGTTGAACTTTGACACAAGTGCTGAAAACCATTCAGGGGAAATAACTCACGTAAGCCTCCAGGTAGGTAGCGAGCCATGGTTATATTACAAGGGAACTGTGACATCGATATTTGTAATCCTTTTTTTTATATGCATTAAAAGCTGTAATATGCCGTTTTTGATAGATTTATTGCATATGAGCAGCATTATTTGATGAAGCAGTCACATATTTGCCTTATCGATTGCGCTGCAAGCTAACATGTTGCATATACCACGTTAGCTTAACGTTACACGCAACGTTTCTTTGTGTACTGCATAATAAGTGCCTGTTCGTTTACGCAGATAACCATATTTGTCTATTTTTTAGATGCAGTAGTTCAGAAAAAAGGGACCTGAAGGACATGGAAATTTTAATGTAAGACTTGGAGTTATTTGCCAAGGATCAGCAAACGAACCAATCTGACCCATCTGTGTTTGAGACACGTAAATATATCATTAATCTATTACGGACTAAATCCGTCCCTTTCGCTAAATTGCATTAAGAACTGAATAAAAATGACAATATTTAATTGAGTTCAAAACTCACATTTAGTTAGTAGCACGCACCTTGCATTATACCAAAATCAATTCCTATCGCACAAAATTTTACCATAAAATATGCCCCAATAAGAATCACATCTGTTTAAAACAGGCATTGTTGATAGTCCGTACAATTTTTAAATTGGTAAAATAAAAAAATGCCAATGAAAATGCGAAGTAATATGGTTGTCGAGAGGCGCAGTGCTGTTCATGAGGACAGCACAGGTTCGATTCCTCGATCCGGGGTACCTCGGTTATACCCCCGGCATTAATTAAGACTTTCTGCGCACTTCAAACCTATAGCCAACAAGACTGTTTTATCTAAGTGTAAAAAAGTGTTTTTAATTGTTGTAGAATAAGTAAAATACGTTAATATTATTCCTAACAAATAAAACGTATTAACATGTACGATATTTGAAATTAATAAATAAAAAACCGTGTGGTTTCAATAACAGAAAGGGATATGTTAGTAATTCAGTATTCCTATTTTTGATACTGTAAGGGTGCAAATAGTAATTACTGTATCCACAATTTCCGTTCTACAGAACTTTAAGGACAAATGCAACACCCCAACGTACATTGCAACAGTTAATTTAAGGTGAGAAATATATCCGTGAAAGATGGTAAAATAACGACGATGATGATGATGATGATGATGATGATGGTGGCGTCGATGGTGATGATGATGATGATGATGATGATGATGATGGTTGCGTCGATGGTGATGATGATGATGGTGATTATAAGGATGAAGATGATGAGGATGAAGATGATGAGGATGAAGATGAAGATGAGGAGGATGGTGTTTGAGGTGAGCACGACGTGGTCGACGTTGCAGGATGGCTCTATATGAAGACTGACAACTTGTTATCATAGGGTGTGTTATTTGTATGACATTTATTATATATAAGATCTTAAATGAGTTTTCATTGCATATGAGATTTTATGAAACGAGTCTTTGGAGTTTTTATTTTTATGAGCCTTGGAGAGCAAAAATTAAAACTTCGAAACGAGTTTCATAAAAGCTCATATGAAATGAAACCAATATAAGATATTTTTTATCACATAACTCAGAAAAATTACATTTTGACAGGTTTTAAAGCCAAAATGTAGAGGGCTTAATCAAACGGAGACAGCCATTTTGTTGCACCATCCATATTTATGACGTCACGTCATTGTCTCTATTATGAGGTCACAATCGATTTCTTACTCGCACAGCAAATGAAAAAGGCTCCTGGGTATATTACACTAGTGACAAATGTAAAAATAATTTCACGGGCGAATTCACTTGATGGCAGGCCGATTATGTGATAAATATATGTATATATGTGAATTTATTCATTATTGGCGTTAATTGTATGTTAAACTTGTGTAGCATATATTTATCCGATAAGTTGAACGTAATAACGCATACGGGAATAAAATGAATTTAAATGGACTGTATACATGATTGGAATAATAATTTGTGATAAGATTTTATGAAAATGTAACGAAGATAATGTTCTTGCTGCTAAAGACTTTAAAGACTAAAAAAAGAGCGGTTGGCCGAAGATAATATTGTTGTTGCACAATTTTGTCACAGAGTTCGGACAAAAGAGAAGGGATACAAGTCAAACATTTATCCGGCGTATGTTGGCATAGATGCGATATAGAAACTACACATTCCAGCTCATGTAATGACCGTGCCTCATCTGTGTAACTGCGTGCCTTATTGGAATCGATCACATGAAAATTAGGGAAACGTTTTGTTCTTTACGTGCTCGAGTTTCTTCAGTCATGTTTCCCTTTTTTCGGAGTCTCTCTCTAAAAGAATGAGCAAGAAGCTCGATCCTACTTGAGTTCTAACAATGGTGTGTAAAATTGATCACCTTTTGCTGTTATGTACAGTATGTTACCGTCTAATTTAGGTATAACAAAATTACTACCCTTGTGGTCAGCCTAAAACATAATTCTTCGTTACCCGGATTACTAATCATATGCATGTTTCACTTGTGACAGTGGCTAATCACCCGTGTTCTGGGAACACCTTTTAGCCTGATCATTAACAAGCTAGTAAAACGTTAGACTGAAAGGCCCTTCAACGATTTTATCTGAGGACAACACGGTATAATATGTTCCGTCGGACAAAACTTTGCAAGATTTTATTTTAATTTTTTCCTTTAAAATGATTGTTACGGACGGTCCATATTATTCATAATAAAATAATAAAGAAATTAATAACAATATACGATTGAAAAAAATCTTCTTAAAATGTTTTAGTGTTAGCTTAAGCATACAAGCGTACGTGTATGCTACGCCACTGCTTGAAGCAATTGTGCTTCCCTACTACAAGAGCAATAAAAATGTACGAGCGGATATAAATTTCATTATAGACAGCAGGAGTAATGACAACGACAAGTTTCTATCTATTTATTTGTTATTTATTCTTTATTCACGCACCGAGTTTAATTAAGCTGATTAGTGTATAATTAACCTTTAAAATGCACGTTCATAGCGTTTTCTTGAATTAATGTGCAAAAAAACCCACTCCAAAAACCACAGACTGAATTTGAAACAGTTTATCGCATCACAGGCACTAGCCTCGTCTATCAATACACCTATAATATATTATGCCTAGTGCCTGTGATCGCATGCAGATGTTTATTGAGCCGTTGTTAACAAATAAGTTAATGCTTGAATAAGTTATTTGCCACCTCGAGCGTGGTCAGCGTTATAGCTTTCAAGAACGTGATATTTTACTTAGCCGTTGTAAACAAATGAAGTTTTTCAATTTCGGTAAAACACTTTATCATTGCAATCACGTTCCATTTATTGTTCATTAGGTGTTTCATTATATAATGTTTTTTTTAATTCATAAGCACACATATCGTATTTTTAGTCTTCTTTATTAAGGTTATGTGATAACATTTTTTTTTCTTTTCAGTTTTATAAATTCCTGGTAGGACCTACATCTCATCGGACATAATTCGTTTCGAATTTCGTTAAAAAAATCAAAAAAAAAAAATCATATTAAGCTATCACTGATTTTATGCCATCCGATAATCAACTCGTATTATACAACCTAAATATTTTAGTCAAGCAAAGCAACAAACCTAAACCATTGTAGGTAAATTTACTTCTAGATACGAAACTAAGCCTTCTCTCTGAAATCCAATATGGCGAAGGTAAAATGTGAATCCGGCTGGTTCGTCTACTTTTAAATTAATATTTAAAATTAGATGGTGACAAATGAAAACATCATGTTACATGTGTTTATCTTAAACTGATATTTTATTGGCTGCATGCATAGTGAGTATCTGGTACGAAATATTACTACCTAGTGTCAGCAGCATGTCTTATCCATGTAAAGGGAGGCAATTCTCGCACAAATCGCGGAAACAGAATTATTGGCTTTTCAAGGGAGGCAATTCGAGCACAGATTTGTGACAATAATATGTATAAATTTACATTTAACTTCAGAAATATTAATTACAATTTGCTTCATTTTTCTATAGCCAGTACTATATACCTACTATCGGAGTTCCTGCTCATGGAGAGTGAGAATTGGTAAGTTTGAAAACTAGTAAAACGACTTATCCGATTGACATTACAAAAACATTCCTTCAATGACGGACCCAGCGACAAATAGTACTTTTTCTATCGATGATAATAAAGCCCGTTTACTTAATAATTCTTTTTGTAGTAAAACTCGTGTAAATAAGGTTGATATTCCACTTCCGATGATTGAATCCAAAACAGATAAAAGTTTTGTATTTTTGCCGTTAAATTATTTAGAAATAAAATATGTTTTATAAGTGTTAAAGTTAGGGAAAGCTTTGGGAGGGGATGGGATCAGTCATCATGTGCTGGAGTATGCTGCTAACTCTATCTGCAAACCACTTCAAAGAGTTTTTAACATGTCACTTTCTTTGTGTGTGTGTCCAAATAAATGGAAACTTGCAACCGTTATGCCGCTTTTCAAAAAGGGTGATCGCCATACACCGTGTAATTATCTACAGTTGGTTAAGAGTTTGAGCGTGTAGTTTAAATCGATTGTTTTATCGATACCAGTCAGGTTTTATGGCCTTGCCATTCTCCTGTTTATCAACTTATTGAAATTTACCATACTATTTGTATTGCTTTCGAAGAAAGAAAACATATTTGCATTGTTTTTTTGTGATATATCAAAAGCGTTTGATCGTGTTTGACACAGGGGCCTGATAGTACGGAATTTCAGGGGAATTATAGGACTGGCTCGAAACTTATCTACACCAGCGCAAACAGAAAGTTTCAATTGGAAATTCATATTCGAAACTAGGTAGTATTAACGCAGGTGTACCTCAAGGTTCAATTCTTGGGCCGCTTCTCTTTTTGATAAATATCAAGGATAATTCTGATGTACTTGAATCGGCCTTCAGGCTATTTTTCAGATGATACATACTTTACTGTTCTCAACAAGGATCTAAAATCTTTAAATCTTTTGATCCTCAAAAACGGACGTTCTTTTTTTATTTCAAATGCAAACGATATTGACGATGACTTGGATTTGATGTTTGATGGGTAAATTTTGCAGACGTTTGTACATAAACATTTAGGAGTAAATTTCAGTTCAAATAGAAAATGGTGGGAGTCTTGTTGAGGAAGTTTATATTTCGGTAATGAAAAGAGATTAACTTTTAAAAGTATATAAATATTTTCATTTTACCAGTTTTTCAATATGCAAGTGAGTTATGGAATGGTTGCACTGATTTTAAATCTGATAAATTAGAGAAAGCCCAAAGAGAGGCGCTTCAAGTTATAACAGGACTGACTTCGTATACAAGTAATGATTCATTAAATTTTGAAACGGGTTAAGAAACACTATCAGAGAGGAGAAAAAGGCGAAAATTAAATATTTTATATAACATTGAAAACAATTTAACCCCAAGCTATTTATTGGCCCTTTTGACAGACACAGTGGGTTACAACAATCGGTACAATTTACGGAACCAATATGATTATAATGTTCCTTCTTTCAAACTCTCCTAAAGCAACTCCTCTGTTCTGCCAGCGAATTTACATCTTTGGAATTCGTTAGACAATACAATAATGGTTTATATAAGAACATAACCGTCTTTGAATACTTAGTGAAATAATCTAATCGTAAAATGTATTATGTATGTCTTGTTAAATGCTATTATGTATATATCAATATACACTGTATAACATGTAGAGGAAAAGGCGTTTATAAGTTGATATAACTTGTGCATAATCCTTTGCTCAAATTTGGGCCAATAAATATGTTAAATAAAATCAAAATAATGGATGATAATGCCATATGATTTATAATGTATATATTTCAGCACTGGCCTGGAAAGGTATCGAGTACGAGTCCAGATTTGTAAACTTGGGGAAGGATGGAGGACAGCAGGTGAGTGATACATGTAGTTTCATAATAGGGACCCCTTTACCCAAGGATGCTCCACACCAAATATGGACCAAATCCTTTCATTCCTACAGATGAAGAAGGATTTTAAAGAATTTGCTATATTTCCCCTATTGGGCCCCGCCCCTCAGGCCCATGGGGGGCCAAACCAATGTTTTATACAAAATTAATTCCCCTTCACCCAAGGATGCTTCATACCAAATATGGAACAAATCCTTTCATTCTTACAGAAGGAGAAGGATTTTAAAGAATTTGTTATATTTCTCCTGATTAGGCCCCGTCCCTCATCCCCCAGAGGGGCCAGGCCCACCATTTATACCAAATTTGTTCCCCTTCCCCCAAGGATGCTTCTGACCAAATTTTGTCAAAATATGCTCAGTCCTTCATGAGAAGTAGCGTTTTAAAGGAAAAGTTGACGGACGGACGGACGGACGGACGGACGACGAACGCTGCGGTATGGAGTTATCATGAGATAAATTTTACGATGTACATGTTTGAAGATTTACAGCGTATCACATATATGTGTACACATATATAAGGACTTCGCATAGCTGAACACGGCCACCCCGGATTATATTGCTGTGTAAACACTGGTATAACTTTTTGTTTGTTTTATTATTTGTTGTTTTCCTCGTCAGAATGGATGATTTTTTTCAGTTTTATTGATGATATTTTTCCAGTTCCATTCTTTGTAGAAGTTACCAGACCGCTACGGACTCTTTGTCCATAATATGTGTTGGTGTGACTATATCTATGTCATCTGTTTGAAAACATATTAATACTGCTTTTTTATTTGTAGACTTATAAATAAAAATAAAATAAAAAAAAACTTTTAATTAAGCTTAATGCTTAATACCGTCGGTATTTTCATATTTTTAGCGATTCCTGCGGTATTGTTAACATGTCATTCGTAGAAGTAAAAACAAAAGTCGGTTTTCTAGGACACATGTTTTGGGAACTTTTAACTTTTAGAGCTTTATCAAATGTTGACAATTCCCGCAAGACAACTAAGCTTGAAATTTTGCGCGTGCGCGGCCAGTTCATAGTCACCGGTACCAACGACCATCAAGAGTATTGCGATTGTTGCATGCTGAATCAGCTCGGGAACCTGTGAGGTTTAACGCTTGATAGTGTGATTCATTATTTCGAAAAGGTTGTTTTTCAACCTTATAGACAATCATTTTTTAGCTTACCTGCCCGTTGTCTTTCGTGTCTATACTGGGATCAGAAATGTCTCTAGAATTCGAAATCATAAAAATCACAAAATTGATTTTTCACTGCTTAAAGACCCTAATCCGAGCCGGCGGCTCATATATCCTAACAGGTACTTCAAGCCCAAATTACCTGCCTGTTCCCTATAAAACAATCTTGTCATGTTGCAGAGTAAATCTACACTTTTAAGTTTAATCCTAGGCTAAATATGGATTTTACTGTGAAGTTTTCACCTAGCATAAGATTTAACATTTGTTTTACTTTTTTTCCCATTTCTTTTTCTATTTGAAAAGTTTTTTAAATGATTTTAATATCAATATAAAGTAACTGAGGAATGGACAATTTCGGGGTTTGAGTCTTGTTTTTCTGATATGTCTCTTTTACAGAATAAAGACGAGTACGCCGCCATCAACCCGATGAAACAAGTTCCAGCGCTAGTGATGAACGGCAGTACGATGACACAATCTGTGAGTGTTTCATGTTGTATTATAATCAACCTCATTTTTTCTTACAACAAATGTGTATTGTAATAGTTGGGCAATATTGGTAAATGCAAAGTGAGCCTCTTGGCTGCATTAATGTGTAACCAAATTCATCGTTTACATGGGACCGCTCTTCTAGAAGGGCCAGTGTTTTTATTGCATACTGAGGTCAAAGGAGTACATCACCACTGTAGCAAAATTATAAATCTGATGTAGGTACACGTGTGTACTACATGTGTTTCTTTGTATGAATTTAGGTAGCGATGCTGGAATACTTGGAAGAGGTCCATCCAGAAAAGCTCATCCTACCCAAAGACCCCCTGGACAGAGTCAAAGTAATTATATGTACACCAATGTATAAGTATCTATCTCTGTATCAAGTTTACTGCTTCTGTACATGATCCCTTTCTTAGCATGAACCCCCAAAAAATATTAAAACACAACATTTCATTGATGTCATACGTCATTCTGAGAGCTGTTGTAATGGCGTCTTCCCGTAAAAACACGTGTAATTTGCGCACCTATTTAATTTGCGCTGGTACTTTTTAGGGTTAAAAATACTGAAAAAAGCTTCTACTCATATATTTTGCGCATCAAATTTTTCCGTTAAAAACGATGTCCAGAATGCTCGGAAAGTTCACTTCTTCTGTACACGATTCCCTTTCTTAGCCACACTATTTCATTGATGTCATACGTCACTCTGAGAGCTGATGTAATGGCGACTCTCTGTAAAAACTCGTGTAATTTGCGCACCTATGTAATTTGCGCTGGTACTTTTTAAGGTTGAAAATACTGAAAAAAGCTTCTACTCATGTATTTTGCGCATCAAATTTTTCCCTTAAAAACGATGTCCAGAATCCCCGAAAAATTGACTTACGACACGAAACGTTGACTCACATATCTGCATGTTCTTATCATTTATTAATAAAATGTGGTATTTGGTTATAAATTTAATAACTTTTAAAGATCTTTATGCAGATGCATATAGATGTTTGTTTTCTTTGAAGTACGCCGTAACACCAGACTGAACACGTGTGCATATCGGCACACAGTGACACCATACACGTTCATCCTTCACAAGTAATTATATATAATGTGTAGTGTAGTAATCATTGATTCCTACCTCAAGTTGAAAATTATAAGTAGACACCTATTATGACCCTAATTATGATTGATTTCATCAGTGGCTTGGGATATCTCACTACATAACACAGCATAGTTCCTGTCACAATCAATGTGTGGGTCACTAACGTTGTGCTTTGTATAGAAAACTTACAACTGCACATAAGCCTGAAATCTGACCACTGACCACTTGAACATGAGTATTCTTTCTGTCAGAATTTAAAAACTCTCCAAAATATGATACACTGTATCAATTACAGCAGAGTCTATTGTAAACTCAGCTTGCCAAAGGTCACCGCCGAGGTTTACCTGTATTTTGCAAAAGCTTATCTCCCTCAGATAGACATTGGACTAACCTGATCTGCCGGATAAGATTGAAGTCGGTCTATTTGTAGGGTTGGACCATATTTGTGAGTTGCAAAACCTTTTCTCTCAAATCCGGTCATGTAAGATAAAGCCTCAGGGTTTACCAAATTAGAAAACCCCTCGGGTGGAATTTCCCTTTCTCTTACCCTGGACTGGGAGATCCACCATTTTACTGGTGTGAGATTTTCTTATCTCACCCTAGGGTTGAGACAAGCTACACGTGTTCTTTTCACGTTCTCAACAATTGTATGACGTCATAGCAACAATAGCATGACGTCACGGCAACAATACAATGACGTCACGTCGACAATTCAGCCGCATCACATCAACATTGTCTTGCATTGATGTAAAGTCTACATAAAATACATAAGAGGGTTGTTTTGATTAATTTAATAACTTTACGTTAATTGCCGTATCAATTTATATAGCAGCACAACTACCTATTTTATATCTTTTAATAACTATTAATTAAAATAGTTAAATATCCATCAAAATCCTCTCATTTCAAAATGGCGGACCATGCAATTCGACGATCTTTCTTTAAAACAATCCTGAGAACATCTATAGCTATGTAATTTTCGCACCGCAACTTTAAACTTCATTTTGGCACAAAAAACACTGAGCAAATTACACGAGTTTTACTTTATATCAATGTTTTACTTTAAACACAAACACTGTACATATTTAACGTGTCACAACATTTCAAGACCAACTGGTCCATTTGGCAAGCTATGACCGAATGCAAACACAACATTTTTGATGCGTAGATTGTTTTTTATGTAGTAAAACTTTGATTTTATATCTTTCTTAGCTGATGAATGTTATTGAAGATAAAATATGACTTTGTTTGAATACAGAAGCCATGTTATAAACTTGAAACAGAAAGGGTTTGACCTTATGTCTCCTTGATGAAACTCAACGGTTCAGCTGTTGATACACACAATTCTCTACAGCTTTGAAATATGTCATGGAAAAAAACAAAGGCACATGACTAGCTATTTGATTTGTTTAAGGTATAAAAAACATGACCAATCGCTAGGAATTAAAATTCAACATGTTTTTTTTTTACGAAAGGTGCGAGAACTCGTGTCAGTCATCAGTGGAGGGATCCAGCCCCTGCAGAATAGCAGTGTGCTGCAGAAAATTGGGGACGAGGGTAAAATGGAATGGGGAAAGTTCTGGTTAGACAAGGGGTTCCAAGGTAAATTCACACTCTCTGAACTCCAATGGTAAATCTTCTATGATAGGAATATTTGTTTGGTATTCGTTTAATGAACATATATGATATTATGCTTTATTTCAATCTGCAGTCAATCCGGCTGTGGGTGTGGGTGATTTTTTCTTTTAGTCTGATTTCAGTTATCTGGGCTCTCTCTCTCTCTCTTCTGACCTTTGGCTAACTCCTTAACCTAGAAGCCAGTTGGAATCCAAATGCTGGCATCCATAATTCTTATTTGTTACAATGTGTCTGTATTGCGCATGTCTTTGTTGATAACACAGATGGCCACAGGTTCTTTAAGGCTCCTGTTGCTGCTGCTGCTGCTGCTGGACTCCTCCTCCTTCCGATATATCAGAGTTCTCATGATGAGAGACATCATTGCTCTCGACTCTTGTCACGTACACTTGTCAAATTTTGTGTGTGAGCACATCTTGGACTGGAGGAGTGCTGCATACTGATATCAAGTCATGTGTCACTACATACAGAGTTATAGCCTTTGTTATTTTTTCTCCTCCAAGAAATGTTAACGTGGGGCATTAGGTGTTATAACCTTGTCTATACGTACATACATATATGTAAGGCTTGTGGAAGTACGTTTTTTGCGTTTAGGTCAGTGAACTATGGACTATGAGTAAAGCAGCGAGGATCATGTCCATGAAACTTCACATAATGATACGCCTTGACAAGTACATCATGTTTCACCACGTTTTTGTGACTTTCACCATTGACCTTGACCTCTGTGACCTCGGTTAGTTTCTTTGCGTTTAGGTCAACTTTGTAGCTAGAGTATGATGTAACCTCACTTGTTTATGTGCCATGATGAATACTGTGTGTTCTATATAACATTCTACATTTAACTAATTTGATAATATTTCATTATTGCATCAGCTCTGTTTTGACCTGGTTGTGTTTCCAGCTCTAGAACAGACTCTGAAGCGTACTGCTGGAAAGTATTGTGTCGGAGATACTGTGACAATGGCTGATGTATGTCTGGTCCCTCAAGTCTTCAACGCAAACAGGTAAAAAAAAAAACTTGTTTTTATGATATCATAAAGGTTTAAGGATGCTACTGTCACTATATAACAGTGCTGGTATTATAATGGATTTATTGGATATTTTTAAAGAGTGAAAGAAATAAAAAGTTGAAGACTTTTTGAGCATATAAACCATATATGCCATATCATAAATTTGGAACAGTTGACCTGAAGATATTTTGTTAAGGGATAGTACGTTGTTTTAAGTGGCTATACTGGTCATTAGAACATGAAAGTTAGTTTGAACTCGAGACCGATAGGTCGAGAGTTTAAACCAAATCTCATGTTCTAATCACCAGTATAGACACGAAAGACAACGAACTATACCCATTCTAACACACCTTAACATATATACTACGCTACTATTTTCAGAAACATGCATTTACATTGCTACAAGTACTGAGTTAGTACTCTGTGACTTGTGCTGGTGACGTGTCATTCTGTAGCGGACTGACCAATCAGAAAGAAGCTTTCAAAAGTCGGACATTTGGCCCCACCCATACTGGCTAGCGCTCGATCTGTATGTTCATGAACGTCCTGTTACCAAAGTTTATACGACACATTTGGACTTACATTGACCAAATTCTTACATTCCCATGTCAATCAATATGCATGTCAATCTGTGCGTATCGACAGCATCGGTGATTATTTGTTTACATCTGCGAAGAAATTTGTGCAAAAGTCTTACGACATATGTGAAATATTTCATTTGATTTCGGAACTAACTAAATGCCTACACACGTATGAAACAATTGTTTCAGTAAATGAAACAATTGTTTCAGTAAGCTTGGATGTAAGAACAAGGAATATTTAATATTCCATTTTAATCATATAAACATATATTTCATTGGTCCCTTCTGTTCTGTTGCCTAAGAGGCAACCTTGACGCCATATTGTTTTTGTAAGAAACGGGGTATGACGTCAGCGCAATGAATGTATCGCAGATTAGAACATGATCTGTATCCAATTAAAACACGCGTTGCAAATGAATTGTGTTGGAATGAAATTTAGTAGGGGTGCAGTAATATGCCTGGGGTGTACGTATTACAAAATATTGCAATACCGAAGAAATGTATCACTATATGTATCCTGACATATAGTCAAAAGATAAAGGTGCTCACTTTAAAAAGGAATTTCAGAATGTAATAAAACTGAATCATATATATCATATGGATCACAGATTTTAGATTTTCATTAAACCAACCATCGACCATGCAAGTTAAACTTTATGATTCCCACCACTAGTAATAACTTGCTTATGTATGTCTGTAAGATTTTTGTTTTGCAAAGTTAAAACACTATACCCAGCAGATGTATAAAAATTAAGCATTTGAAAAATATTGCGATATACCCTGTAGTGACATTTCATTTCGGTATAGTGTATTGCGATACAAAATGCACTCATGTGTATTCATACCATAAGATCGTTTCGGGCCCAGGAGTTAAGAGAAGAGAAATTCCACCCAATGGGTTTTCAAACAAGATCCAACACGAAGCTTGGTGAAGTTTTGCACCAATTTAAAAACCTCGATTGTGGAATTTCTCTATCCTACATCCCTGAGCATACAAGAGTATTTACTTCTCATTCCAGTTACCAAAGTTAGCACAACAACCACGCAGTGTATGTGTTGCAGCATCAGAATTGTTTCAGTTAAAGTCAATAAGACATTATGAGATGACCACTAGGTCTGCATTGATACATGTACACCTATCTCACAATACGATAAGTATATCTTGGTATGATGCTTACGATACGATACAATACATATCATGATACTTATATCTGCTCAAAAGTTGAACTTCATAATGATTAAGGATTTTAAAGAGCTTTAATTGTCATAGCATTTTAATACTTTTGAACAGTGAACGGCGCAATGTATCACTGCAGCCTTAATGGCCAGTCTCCATCTGATTTTTCTTCTTCTGTTTTTCAGATTCAAGGTGGAAATGGAACAGTTCCCTGTAATCGCTCGTCTAAATGGTGAACTCCTCAAACTGGACGCCTTCCGAGAATCTCATCCGTTCAAAATGGACGACTGCCCTGAAAATCTTCGCAGTTGAAGAGAGTTCACCAAGACGTGAACCAATAAGCATTGTACGAGGAAAAAGAATCGAACATGTAACAAATCCGGATTTTTTTCAGTGAGTACGATAGTTTGTATTTATTTTGCCTATCAACGAAATTTGCGTGTTTCTAGTTCTTTTTATAAGGACGGAAGAGTAAGCTTTTCATTCGACAACAGAGTGGCGTTTAATTCAAGGCAACGTGATATCTCTTTTATATTCGCGTTTATAAAATGATGATTTCCTCTGAGATGTACAGTATTGTTTTATCCTTATTAGATAAGCGTCCAATCACTACAAATATATCCTATAAGCACTTTAATGCTCTAATAAAGAGACCTATTCCTAACTTATGTTTAGTTCTTTTTCGATTTTGAACATACTTAAAGCTACCATGATGAGATTGCAAATATTTGTAAGGAGAAAGGCACCATCATATGCCGAACCACAATACGCATTTAATAAATCTATAGTGAGTATTGAGTATATAGACATACAATTATCTTCTCAGTTGGAGAGCGATCTGAATACTACACGTTTAAATAGCTTTTGAATTACCATTTGGGTCATCCGTCTATCTGTCAGTATTCCACTACACACTGGTTTCTTTTTCACGGCCAACACACCGGAATATGTAAAAAGAAATAGAATAGCCCTAGTGATTATAATGCTGGGTCGCTCAACGATGTTGTGTGCCCGTATCTTATGATCGAGACCCCTTTCATTACATATTGTAAAATGAGTTATTTTGAATGTTTCTTGATATGACGAATTGCGAACCGATTTATAGAAAAGGTGAACAAAACACCTACTATCTAATATTCTTAATAAAACAACGGATTCATACATGAGGGTATCGTTGTATTACGGTAAAATGTAATGTACTGGAATGTCGAATTAATAGATGTTCAATGAGCAAAAATGAAAAAAAGACTATGAACATTTTTTGGTTTACAACAAAAGAGGTATACTCATCACAAATGTTTGCTACCATATATATATGCCGAACCAGACAGGTTTTTTATAGTGCTGGCAACATTGAGAAGCAGTTAATTACTTATTGATATCATCAAAAATAAAATTGTCAGTTGAGTCTTGTTTCCTTCCACCTCCATATTTGCTGGGCTAATAGAAATGTGAATACCGGTGCAATACTCATTTGCTAGCTTTGATTTGTTTTATTTCACCTTATATACCTCCTTCATCAAGAGTCAGTGTCAAAGTCAGAGATCCACTTTGCCTTTGACCTTTGGACCCAAATTACCTTGACCATTAACCCAGTGACCCTGATCTTTGGGCAGTTGACTTATTCTATAATTTCAACCAACTTTACTTCTTAATATCATAACAAAATGTTCATCAGGGAAAAGGTACAAAATTTAACCTTGACCTTTGACCAAGTGACCTTGACGTTTGGTCAATTGACTCGTTGTTTAATTCTGATCAACTTTGCTTCATCTTGTCATAACAAAATGTTCATCAGTGAAAAATCCAAAACCTGACCTTGACCCTTTGGACCCTGTGACCTGGACTCTTAGGTGAGTTTACTCTGTGTTAAGTTCTGAACAACATTGCTTCACAATGTTATAACAAAATGTTCATCAGGGAAAAGGTACAAAATTTTAACCTTGACCTTTGACCAAGTGACCTTGACGTTTGGTCAATTGACTCGTTGTTTAATTCTGATCAACTTTGCTTCATCTTGTCATAACAAAATGTTCATCAGTGAAAAATACAAAACCTGACCTTGACCCTTTGGACCCTGTGACCTGGACTCTTAGGTGAGTTGACTCTGTGTTAAGTTCTGAACAACATTGCTTCACAATGTTATAACAAAATGTTCATCAGGGAAAAGGTACAAAATTTAACCTTGACCTTTGACCAAGTGACCTTGACGTTTGGTCAATTGACTCGTTGTTTAATTCTGATCAACTTTGCTTCATCTTGTCATAACAAAATGTTCATCAGTGAAAAATACAAAACTTGACCTTGACCCTTTGGACCCCGTGACCTGGACTCTTAGGTGAGTTGACTCTGTGTTAAGTTCTGAACAACATTGCTTCATAATGTTATAACAAAATGTTCATCAGGGAAAAAATTAACCTTCACCTTTGACCCAGTGACCTTGACTTTTGGTCAATTGACTCCTTGTTTAATTCTGAGCAACATTGCTTCAAAGTGTCATTGCGAAATGTTCACAAGTGAAAATATACAAAATTCAACCTTGAAATTGACCCAATGACCTTGACCTTTGGTCAGTCGACTCCTTGTTTAATTCTAATCAACTTTGCTTCATCATGTCATAGCTAATTGTTCACCAGTGAAAAGCTACAAAATTTGATTTTCATCCCTGACCCGATGACATTAAACTAGAAAAGATGTAAAATTTGACCTTGACCTTTGAACCTTATGACATTGACCTTTGACCTTTCTTTTTATCTCAATGTGTATTTTTGTGAACTGAACATCTTAACCAAGTTTCGTGTACATCGGTCAATAGATACCAAAGTTATCAGCCAGGAACAAAATTTGTCGACGGACAGACAGACAGACAGACAGAGAGAGTGATTACTATAGGGCACCCGTATCTCCGATACGGGGCCCTTATTACTAAATTTTGTTGTACCATGTGGTTTTTAAAAAGATTATTGAAAGAAAAAAGGAAAGGAAAAGAAAACACATAATATAACTTTGACCGGTTTGTATTCACATCAATTAAATTGTCAACCATGCGATAATGAAGCCATTAACAAGCTTCCCAACGAGACCTCATTTCTATCGCTTTCTGAAATTTGATATTTTAAATTTCCTCTGTGTAGATTGTTTTGACCTTCTCTTTAGAAAATGCGCTGCATTGAAACGGGTGAGTAAGGAAAAAATCAAACCGTTATTTAAATGGAAACAATGACAATTTTTTAACGTAGGAAGGAGGTTATGGGTGTCTTTATAACCGACACCACTTATCTTTATAATTACCACCACTCAACACAATATAGGTCAAATTAAAGTAAGGCCACGTCCTCAGATTGAGGCCATGGATAGAGGCAACAAAACTGCGAGATTTGAATTAATGTCAAACAAGAAAAAAGGAATATTTCCCAATGAGATGATGATGGCGATCAAACACCTTCTCCGGAGTCTATATATATCAACCTGCATTGCTCGAAACTATAAATTGAAAGACAGTCCGTCAACCTAGAGTAGCAGGCTACTCTGCCTGCCTGCCTGCCTGCCTGTCTGTCATAATCTGTTTGGGTTTTCAATTTCTAAGGTCAAGGTCAATGTCACTGTTACTAAAAATAGGCTATGGGAGAGTACTGTCCATACCTTGGAATCAAAAAGACTAATTGTAATATGCTGATGAACAATACGGGTTTTCTACATTTCTACATTTCTACGTTTCTAATGTTAATGTCAATGATACCAAAATAAGCGGGTCTTAACTGGCCTGGCAGTGTTCTACAAAGGTAGTTATCTATAATTTAACAATACGCTAATCGGTTTCCTTATTTTTGTGTAGATAATGAAAGATTAAAGCAATGCATAGCTATGAGTGAGGTAGTGATATCTTTTATTTAGTTTTTCAGCTTTTGTTTTATTTATTTTTTAACGTATAGTCACAATCCATGACAGTGTAAGACTAGTTAATGCTTTCTTAAAACGGTCAACCAAAAGGAACTTTATAAATACTCTTCAAATAACTTATGTTTTTCAGTTTTTTCTTTAAATATGGTGGCCTTGTACGAGAGGTAAAAAACATAAAATAGTATTTTGTTTTATTTTTAAGCTAAAATACAAATTATAAAGTGAGAAAAAAGAATGATATTGTCATGGTCTGACAAATATTTTAACACGTATTCCCATTAAGAATGTACACCGTTAAGTTGTAAAGACATTAGAGGAGAGAGCACGTGGCCAATACCTCTACATGCTCTCTTGGCTTTATTGTTTACTATGTGTAATTGATCGTTTTACTAAATGATAAATATATACTATACCACAAATTATATAGCGCCATATCCAGCTAAAAAAATATTCAATCTATAAAACAATATGATACATTTGTACATCAATCAATTTAATTTTTGAACATATTTGCAGGAACCTGCCTTACCAACATCTACTAGCCCTGTGACATATTGTAAATATCCCTAATATCTAGGCGAAACCCGTACTTAACATAAAAAAATAACACTTGGTTTAAGAGTTGCGGTTCTCGCAGCTAGGCGCCAGTCATTACAGTAAAATTTGTGTTATTCCTTAGAACTTAGAGTTAATATATAGGAATCAGGTATTTTTGTGAATTTTATAAAAAAAAATCGATCAAAATCAAATAAGTGTGATTATACTTCCATTCACACGCAGGTTCTTCCTGACCCATGTGTAGGACCGACAGCTGTACTAAATAAATATTGGGGGAAAAAGATGCAGTAAAATATGCATTATAGTTTGTATTTCATAATTAGGAACAAGGAATAATCTACGTTTAAATAACAAAAGACTGAGTAATTTACAGAGGCTTACGTGGGGCAGTAGCCAGGTACTGGCCCTTGGTTGGTGGGTTTTGTTCTGCGGCTACTCTGGTGTTTCTTCCACCACCACCACCAAATCCCGGCACGTCCTTAAATGACCATAGCTGTTACATGTAATAAGGCGTAGCAAACAAATTTCAACAAAACCAAGCATATCCCCTTTCAGTATGGCGAGCATATCTTTTTACTACAATAACAAGTATTCGCTTAGCGACAGTGGTTGTAAAATAAAGCCTCGGGCTGAAATATAATGTATTTGTGTATATGGATTTTATGGCACGCATAGGAAACGACAGTTGGCAATCGTTTTATAACCGACACGTTGTCTCGCATAATTACATACAGCAGGTAGCTATTGGTTAACGCATGCGTTCTTTATTTAACATAAGAATTCAAAGCTGGCAAGTGTTGCCATCAGAGTGAACTAAAACTACCAGATTCACGATTTTTCTTGCTTTAAAGGTAAGTTTACTTTTTACTTCTAATATGTTTTGATGTTCAAATAAACTAGTGTATAACCTGTTAACGCTCGTTGATCTTTTTGCAATGTAATTTGATTTCCTTATTGTACAATGTACTTTAGATTTAATGCTTCACATTCACCTCGACTCTGATGTAATATGTTTTTTCTTTATTTCTATTATTAATCATGAAGTATCTCATACTTTTATGACATCAATAAACATGAACGACATTTTATTTTCCTAAGCGTATTTGACGGGCGTTTTGCGTCTAACCTACAGCTAATATGATACCTCTTTCATTTATCTGTCTCCTATTTTACATAAATGGCGGAGGCAAACCCGGATGCAGAAAGCCTTGCAAAATCTAACGTTTTTCGCCAACAAATTTGTGTTTTATTTCATGGTAACCGTTTTGTATGCGTTGTACATTTGTATTTAGGAAGTGTACGATATTTACAAATAACCATGGTCTAAACACTACAAGTGCCATTAAAATAAATCTACCGATCCATATATATATATATATTCTTATTGTAAACTTTAATGAGGCAATATTGAATATTGACGTATATTTTAATATTGCGAATCGATCATGGATCAGTATCAATTGAAACCTACATTAATTAGCATACAAAACCGTCTTTAACTCAGGGGTTTGCCTTTAATTTCGACAATATTATATTTCCAATAACATCAAATTATGCGAGTTTCGTGTTTCAGTGTCGATGCAATTACACAGTAAATAACATTCAGTATATCATGGCTGATTGTTGTTTTGTATTGGCTAGACCTAGTACGACTAAAAAAGTTAGTAAAGACATATCACTTTCTTTTAAATCGTATTTACATGCAACGAACATACCACGCCAACATGTTTATTGTAGGTGTCTGCGCTTGTCATTCAACACACCTCGCTCGTCACGCTCACCCCCTCTATCTACCCAGAGCGCGCTAAGTTTGCATCAAATCCTTTTGTGTAAGTTCCTATTAATATTCGATTATATTATGTAAATACTCAAAACCAAAACTACTGTTTAAACGGCTGTCAGAGAGAACATTCACAAAGGAAAAAGAACGCTAACATCGAAATTGGATCTTTTAGTAATATCTGAATTACCTGAAGGAACAATAAACATGAACTTGAACCCTTTCTAGCTAGACTCTATAAATCGAAGTAATTCAGGTTTAGACTTTGGAATATTAAATTTTCTAATGCAACTGTCAAGTGTCATTGTACGAAAGCCGATTAGTTCCACACATAAACCAAATATTATCTCGATATTACGAATTAAGCTACCTCGTTATAATGACTGAAGTTATCTCATTATTACGATTGAAGCTACCTCGTTATAATGACTGAAGTTATCTCATTATTACGATTGAAGCTACCTCGTTATAATGACTGAAGTTATCTCATTATTACGATTTAAGCTACCTCGTTATAATGACTGAAGTTATCTCATTATTACTATTTAAGCTACCTCATTATGATGACTGAAGTTATCTCATTATTACGATTTAAGCTACCTCGTTATAATGACTGAAGTTATCTCATTAATACGATTGAAGCTACTTCGTTATAATGACTGAAGTTATCTCATTATTACGATTGAAGCTACTTAGTTATAATGACTGAAGCTATCTCATTATTCCGATTTAAGCTACCTCATTATAATTACTGAAGTTATCTCAATATTACGATTGAAGCTCCCTCGTTATAATGACTGAAGTTATGTCATTAATACGATTGAAGCTACCTCGTTCTAATGACTGAAGTTATGTCATTAATACGATTGAAGCTACTTAGTTATAATGACTGAAGTTATCTCATTATTACGATTTAAGCTACCTCATTATAATTACTGAAGTTATCTCATTATTACGATTTAAGCAACCTCGTTATAATGACTGAAGTTATCTCATTATTACGATTTAAGCTACCTCGTTATAATGACTGAAGTTATCTCATTATTACGATTTAAACATATATAGGGCGTCGCTGTTATTCATTCCTTTTACATGCAATTTATAGTGAAAATTCAATCAAATGGGAAATATAAAGTAAGGGAGATAACTATGCAGAGTAAACACCTCCGCGCGTATAGTTTTGACCTTCAAATCGCGTAATTTTCACCTAATCTTACCTACATACGTCCCTCACTTTAGCATATGTTGTTGTTATCACGTGACTTATATGTAAATTGTTATCTTATGTATTCATTAAGGAGAGGATTGAATGAGTTGAAATAACTTGTGTCCAATCCTTTTGTTTAAAACAATAAAATATATATGTTTAAAAAAAGTATCTAGCAACATATATGCGACAGATTAGTTTAAATATAATAGAAGTTGTTACATGTTGTCATATTTTGTCAGTTTTGTCATATGTTGTCACATTTTGTCACGTTTCGTCATATGTTGTCACATTTTGTATTTTTTGTCACTTTTGACATATGTTGTCACATTTTGTATTTTTTGTCACTTTTGTCATATGTTGTCATATTTTGTTATTTTTGTCACATGTCATGTTTTTTTTTTTTTTATAATTTAATTTTTTGAAACATTTTTAGCATTACAGAATAATTACAGTATTAATTTTCACACTCATTTTCATTCTTCAACCAACATTTAATACAAATTTTGTAATGTTTTTTTTTAGAGAGAGAGAGAGNGTTGCTAATATTTAGATTTGTAGCTTTGGTAATGATATCAATACTTTGTCACAGGTCATTATGTAGGCTGTCGCATTCATTGAGCTGTTGCGGGTTTTGTACACATGCCCTTATGATTCGATTTATCTAAGGTGTCGTTGCTGTTAGTCACACGTGTAAGTGTTGTAAGTCACATATATAGCCACACCTTTCATAATTGCAGTCACACTTCACTTCATCGGTTGTCCTAATGAGCTACATGTGCTTGTACTGTTTGTCGTACAAAAAAATGTACATGATATTGAGTCATGTGGACAGTCGCGTGTCTAGTCACACTTAGTTACAGTGAGGCTAACTTGCTTACAGTGAAGTGCTTAATCATGTTAACCCTATTTAAACTCGATAGAGGCAGGTTTAGGACACGGCGTTCCCTTTCTAACCACATCCTTAATTATACGGAATCTCGCACTACAGATAAATCATCTTCCTCATCGACTTTCCTGTTCAAGTTGTTTCTGTGCCTCTCCACGTTTACTTATGTCGCTGAAATGTCACCTATAGTAAACAATTAAAATACAATTTTAATAAATTTTATACATGCGGTTATCGATTGATTCACTTGATGTTATGTGTTCAGTATATAAATAGTCCCTACGCAATGTTTGTAAACAGTGGAGGGGGTTGTGGGTCAGGAGGTGAAAAGGTCACGCGCATTGATCTGGTTATATAAACTGATTACGCAGCATCAGCTTACTACAGCCGCTGCAGACATCGCCTACAACCACAAAGATGGACACTGGTCAAGGTCAGTTTTGTTGTTTAAAGTACAATAATTTTTGACCCGCCTCCTCCCCATCTTCCTACATCTGGTATTGCTGTACTTACTTGTTAATTATTATCCAGGTGGCGGTTTTATCCCCACCTAGGACCAAACTATTTTATGTACATGTTCCATGTTGGTTTATGTTTTGGAAATATTTTCAATTGTCGTTTATACAAATTAAACGGCCAATTTCAATTCAATCATGTGTTTGGTTATTTATGTTCAGTTTGGTCCAACAAGCTTGCCCTGTCTGAAGTCATGTATAACGAATATTAATAAATTTTTCACAGAACTAATATCAATCAAAATTGTTTATTTTTCTTAAAAACATAGGATATGCTGTAAGGCACTACCTTCTCCCTTTTTATCCTTCTTTCTTTGTACTTTAACATTTCCATTCATATGTGGAAAGGCCGAAAGGCAGTAATAGCAGACGTAAAACCATCAAAATAAATCAGTTCCATTTAATCTGCACCCTCCTTTCAAGGTGTCTAACAAGTAACAAGGGAATGTAATGTCATGCTACATTTGCCAACATATGACATTTCATTGAGGTGAAGAAGCTCTTTAATGAACACTGTGTTTATGAACGAAAAACTCACAACAAACGTAAAATGACGTAGCTTACGACACAGCGTCGACGTTCTCCGTTTGACTGTGATTCCCCTATATGCACACAGGTCAGCCATGTCACTGATGTCATCACAGAGCATCTTTTCGAGAGATTCTCCTTCCTTCTTGTCTAACCTTTTACTAATTAGTGTGAAACTTAACTATGGTGTTTTTCAGCTAATACTCTTTTTATCTTTATAAGTAACAATAATCTGACTATCATCACGTTCTTAATAACAAGAACAATAATCTAAAGACTTCAAGATGATAATTACATGAACAGTGGATTATAGATACGCACAGATGCAAAACATACTGACAAGAGTTTGTAAAACTTTTATTACCATATATATAAACCGCTCTGCGAACGGCCATTATTTATGTCCCCTTGCTGGCTCGTTACTGGAAGTTAATTGTGGGACACGAATGTTGGTAATGTTTTTAAAGCCAGTGATATTATATGTACACATATACAGGAGTATGATGTATTTTACACAGCAAAATACATGGTTATGCCGGGAAATGCTGTTTAAAACGCTACCAGTGTGTGTTCAGTCAAAGGAATTTTTTAGTGGTGTACTGCATGTAACTCAAGAAATGTATATCACCGACACCTGTTACAAGTATATAACTATTATACATATATACAAAGTATTTAATGTTATACGTTTACACTAAGTAAATGATGTTAGTAAAACATTAAAATGCACTCTTTAAATTTGATGATGGTAGGCATGACAGCTTCGTTCAAACATGTGGCATGATTAAGAGTTGGTTCTCCACGTTATCAAGGCATATAGTCTCAAAATAAGTACAATGTTTAAACAACAGTTTATTAAAATAAATGTCAAATATACATGTTAGTATGGTAACATGTTATTCTCCAAAAGCAATAGAAGAGGAAATATAATA